GCCCTGCCCTATAAAAAACACACACCAGTTCTGGGTTTGCTTTTCACAAGAAGCATTGCCTGATGTGAATGATGCCTCGCACAAAAGAGCTCTCAGAAGACCTACGATTAAGAAATGTTAACTTGCATAAAGCTGGAAAGGGTTATAAAAGTCCTGACCTCAACCCGATTGAGATGCGATTCACACCAGACATCCCAAGAATATTGCTGAACTGAAACAGTTCTGTAAAAAGGAATGGTCAAGAATTACTCCTGACCGTTGTGCACGTCTGATCTGCAACTAAAGGAAACGTTTGGTTGAAGTTATTGCTGCCAAAGGAGGTTCAACCAGGTATTAAATCACATACTTTTTCCACCTGCACTGTGAATGTTTACATGGTGTGTCCAATAAAACCATGGCAACATTTCATTCTTTGTGTGTTATTAGTTTAAGCAGACTGTGATTGTCTATTGTTGTGACTTAGATGATGATCAGATAACATTGTATGACCAATTTGTGCAGAAATCCATATCTTTCCAAAGGGTTCACATACTTTTTCTTGCAACTGTAAATACACCGATATTGTCGATAATACATACCAGGACTGCTGGGCCCATGACAAGCCCGGCAGTCCTGGGAAGGCCCGCAGTAAGTGCTTGCTTACCTTCTCAGCAGCTCCCTGTGTAAATCTTGCGAGTCCCGCGGCTGTCAGAGCATGGCCACGGGTTACCATGGCAACGCTCCGCGCAGCACGCTGGCCGAGAGATTTAGACAGGAAGCTGAAGGAAGCCGCTGAGAAGGTAAGTAAGTGCTTGCTGCGACCCCCTTTGTACTTTCCATGCCACTGTAACACCAGGGAATGCTATATCCCCCTCCCTGGCCAGGTAACACGCAGGGAGGGAGTAATAAAAAAAAAATAATTAAATATTTTAAAAAAATTTTTTATAAAAAATGCCCCCTTCCCAAATTACATACCTACAGAAACACACACACACACACTGCATTATATACACACACTACACAAACACACACACACTGCATTATATACACAAACTACACAAACACAAACACTGCATTATATAAACACACACACACACACTGCATTATATACACACACACACTACACAAGCACACAAACACTGCATTATATAAACACACTACACAAAAATACAAACACTGCATTATATACAGGCCCGGACTGGCCATCGGGCACACCGGGCAAATGCCCGGTAGGTCGCGGTGGCCATGGGCCGAGGCCGGCAGGGGAAGTCCCAGGATCTCCCCTGCCGGTCTATGCAGGGCCGGCACTATCCGAGCACCGGCCCCGCTGTTTTGCAGGGAGGGCCGGTGGGAAGATCAAAGCTCTCAAAGGAGGGAGAGGACCCGGCGGAGCTCTATCTTGTACCTCCACCGGGTTCCTCTCGCGAGATCCGGAACGACCGGATCTCGCGAGAGTGAACTCTAGCCCACAGGCTAGAGTTCACTCAGCCACTAAGACCACCAGGGATGGTTTGAGAGTTGCTGGTCTTTTCCCTCTCCCAGGCTAAAGGTAAGAAGGGGGGGGGGATATTATAACTGCTTAATTTTATTTATTTATTTTTACCCCACACACACAATTCCTTTTAACATTCATCCACACCCATCACACACAGCACTCTCACACACATCACACACAGCACTATCACACACATCACTCTCACACACATCACACACAGCACTCTCACACACATCACACACAGCACTCACACACATCACACACAACACTCTCACACACAGCACCATCACACACAGCACTCTCACACCCATCACACACAGCAATCTCACACACAGCACTCTCACACACATCACTCTCACACCCATCACACACAGCACTCTCACACACATCACACACAGCACTCTCACACACAGTACTCTCACACCCATCACACACAGCACTCTCACACACAACACCCTCACACCCATCACACATAGCACTCTCACACCCATCACACACAGCACTCACACCCATCACACACAGCGCTCTCACACCATCACACACAGCACTCTCACACCCATCACACACAGCACCCTCACACCCATCACACACAACACTCTCACACACATCATAAACAACACCCTCACACACAGCACCCACACACACATCACACAAAGCACCACTCAAGGATATAATTTTGCAATGTAGGGTAATAACTGTTTGATCCAAGGATAAATCTGACTGCCATTCTGGGGTCAAGAAGGAATTTTTTTCCTAGTTTGTTGCAAAATTGGAAGTGCTTCAAACTGGGTTTTTTTTGCCTTCTTTTGGATAAACAGCAAAAAAACAAATGTGAGGAAGGCTGAGCTTGATGGACGCAAGTCTCTTTTCAGCTATGTAACTATGTAACTATGTAACTAATACTCTCGGTATTGCAGCTTAATTATTTCTTATTTATGTGTGTGTGAGCATGCTGGTAATTAGGTTGGGGTAAGTGGTAAGTCATGTATGTGTGCAATTGGTTAGTTATGTAACTGCGCTTATGAATGTGGTTAATCACATGTATGTGTGAATGTCGTTGCTAGAATCAGAAGACGGCAAACTTTTCTTGCCTAGGGCCCCAAATAGTAAGGGGTTGCCCGGCTCTGCAGCTGCAAAATCATTTTCTACAATTTTAGCAAGTCAATAAGTTAATCATTTCACTGACAACAAGCTGCACAATTGACTTCCTTATATACTTATTTGTTGTTTTTTGAAGTGTTGCTTTTTGTAAGTTTGTGGGCTGTTACATTGTATATGTTCATGAGTAGTTTGTGATATTATGTATGACACAAATGAATATAGGTTGTGTTTGTTACTTGTAGTATTGTGTGTGTGGATGATATGTCACATTGTGTGTTTGGTGGTGTATGCATGTGAGAGGCTGCTTGTGGAGTTGTGTTCGTGTATGTGAATTGTCAGTGGTGTTGTGTTTTGGGGGACTGTGTGTGTTTTTGTGTTTTAGCTGTCTGTGTTATTTGTGTGAGGGGGAGGCTTATTGTGCAGCTCTGTGTTTATCTATCAGTGTTGGTGGCTTCCCTGGGGTCCAGTGGGGAACGGGCTTGCTAGGTACAGGTCAAGAGGAGGGGCTGTAATAGCTGCTGCGGGTTGCTCAACTACGGTGCAGATTCCCATTCACAAATTCTGGTGCTGTAATGCATACATTGAGGATTGTCCCTCGCCAACTGGATTCACCACTCGGTTTGACCTAGTAGATATCTGAAGTCCCACTAGGACTCTTGATTGGCCAGAGACCATCTATCTCTGACAGCCTTGAGTGCCGTGCAAGGCACCTTGAGTGCTGATCCCTGATATAGAGCTAAATAAGTAAAATGGAAAAAATGTCCACTTCTTAGCCTGACTGGATTTTCTCCCAAATCTTTCCAAAAAAAACTTTATGAATTTTTGTTGTTACAGCAGAACAGACACAGACATCCATTAAACAGAGTGAGAGACATTCATGCTCAGGAAAGACATTGTTCTGTTTACCGTTATCTTCTGTTTTCACACATAATGTAAACATTAGATTAATGTAAAGATTAGTTCAGTGATAAATTGCATCCTAAGAGTAGAATAAAACATATAAGAGGAAAAGAAGAAATACAAAGTGAAAAAGTTGGAACAGGAAAGGGCTTCGTTACCCACTCATACACCATTCAGCTGACTCTATCACAATTAGGTTCACCTAGGACTGCACATGTCATCCGTTGTTGCATTACCAGTGCCTGCTGTTGCCATCGAGCAGGGAACAGAGTCATCATAGCAAAGGCGTCGATTCGATACGAAGACGGGAGCTCCAAATCTGCTTTTTTATTTTTTACTATCTAAAATGTACAAGGTGGTTCTAAAGTCCCCACAACTTGCTGTTTACTAAACAAATCCCTGCTGCTTGGGAACGCAGTTGAAAAAACAGTTATATATGTTGTTATTGTAATCAACATACTGTGATTATTTTTCAGGAGCTAAGGAAGTGTAAATTTAAGGTTGCAATAGCCAAACCCAGAAAAATAAGTTATTTATTTATTTATAAAATATTTTACCAGGAAAGATACATTGAGATTTCTCTCGTTTTCAAGTATGTCCTGGGTCCACAAAACATTGCATTGTTACATTGCATTGTTACAAAAAGAATAGAGGGCTTCCTGGATTAAAACGGACCACTGATCCGCTATCTGACGCTGGATGTCCTCACGCTCTGCATTGATTCAATGGGGAGGTCTAATGCGCGTCTGGCATTCACAGGACAGAGGAGAACATTGGTGCTGGGATAAGGTAAGTAAATAAAGGATTTACCCTTTATTTACCGCGGTGAGGGGGTGGGGGGGGCAGAGGGAGCTATAGTGACAGGAATACAGCTTTATATTCCTGGCACTTATAGTTTCTTGTCCCAAGGGATTAATTACTATGAGAAAAATAAACACGTACCTAACATAATAAAGAAAAAATAACAAAGCGAGAGTGAACTAAAACTGACTGAGGAAATTTTACCATTTCAGTCATTTTTTTACCCTTATTTGAAATTAACTTTAAATTCACTTTGAATTCTCACATTGGTGAATAACTATTGACCTCTGTAAAATGTAACAATTCTCTTTGGACAGGTCCCTCTTCGCCTACTGTCACCGAATGTCATCCGTGTTTTGTTCTAATCGGATGTCTGTCTTGTTTACCTAGCGTACAGCTCTGCAGAATGCGTTAGCGCCATATAAATAAATGGAATCATTTTATTTCTCCACAATATACGGTTTCACAAATGAATCCCACAGAACTGATCTGGGTTATGGCTGACTAGCCAGAATGGAATCCTTAGCTCCATGTGTCTGTGCCTGGAAGCTCTCCTTCAGAAATTCAATACAGCTGGCACAGGATCAGAGTACAGTGTGTAATAATATAACTAGTAGGGGGGAGGAGTGAGTGACAGTTCTATTTAGCCAGTGGTTTAAATGGGCTGTTTCCACCCATTGCAGATTCACCCACTCAAATAAAAGAGCATTTTAAAGGCGGGCCCAGGGTCTGCAATACAGTCATGAAAAAGCAAAGCAGGAAGTGTTGAAGAAAATAGGAAGCAAAGGGGATACTGTGTATCTGTTGAGCCTGCTTATCAAGAAATACAACAAGTAAGTAACAGAGATACTTTGTTGCAATTTCCAATAACATAATCTGCTGGAAGTTATGGGGTTAAATTGCCTTTTGGATTAGTGCCTTTAGGGGCGTAGCTTGGCGCAGGCTGATAACATTCTTGTAACAAAATAAAAATCGCTCCTTTACTTTACAAGCACTGATTATTCACAGAAATCACAGAATGCGTTTTTTTTAAAAATTATTTTGTATTATATGCTATTCCAGCTCAGCCCCTCAGTTTCAGACAATCTCTGGAGCTTCCCCTTCTGTGAATTACAACTAACATCACTCTTTGCCAGCCCAAAACTCTCCATGGCTCCCCTGATCCTTTCTACCTTTTATAATAAACGCCATTATTTTCAGTTTATACATGCATTGCATGTGCAGGCATAGAGCCATTTCACTTTCTTGTGTCACTTATGCAAACTTTTCCCATAAGGCTAAACCCCTTCACGACAAGAGTTTAAGTAAACACAATTGTATCGTTACAGTGCGGGCATGGCACCTGACATTATTATTATTATAATTTTATTATTTATATAGCGCCATCAGATTCCGTAGCGCTGTACAATGGGACATGAAAGGGTTAAGAGAAAAGCATGGCTAATTCATTAAACTGAGAACCATGTAGAATTGTCAAATGAAGCAGCCAAATTTCATTTTATGATATACTTTCTAAATCCTGAATTGTAGCAAATTATAAACCCGTATTGGGGAAATTGTCCAGCTTCTCTATAGTCACAATTTAAGCCCTAATTTTCAATCCATATTTCAATTTGCTACCTTTTGAAATGTTTAGTGGATAATATCTTATTTTTACTACTATTTTACTGTTTAGCTGCTCTGGACAGACAAAATGACTATGAGAAGCATATTTATTCCTTTTTTTCCCCTAACTCAAGTATAATTATCTAGTTATCATTTCCCCTTTCTCATGAATGCGTTGAGATTTCCAGTTATTGACAAATTGGTATTTTTTATTTATTTTTATAAAATTGCACTTTGTATCTCAGTTCCTGCTTACTTTGAGTTTGAAAAGAAATATTAAAGGAAAATTGTTGTTTCTGGTCCGAATGCTATGTGAAAGATGACAACTTTGGCTCTTTTTTTTTTTCAATTGGGCATAGTGTAGATATATTGATAATAGATTTATCGCACAGAGTGGCAATATTTTATCTTTGACACTGATCCACAGCCTTACTTACCTGATCCTGATTCCCACAGCATCTACTGTTACAGGGATTTCTGGTTCCACAGTACCGTACAGACACGCCAGCACGTGGTCTTAGGTACCAACCAAGGTCCCCTGCTGCAACTATCGTTCTTCTCAGCCCAGGTGGTATGCTTGTCTGACTGAGACACGTTGTATAGCAGGATATGTTAGAAAGCAGAGTGACAGCCATCCTGGATTCCAAGCTGGTATTGGCTGCCTGGTGGCGGCTCACTGCAGCCTCTTGTCTGAGTTAATGCTGGGAGTTGGAAGCAGTGTGGGAAGGCTGATAGGGAGTGTGACTTTAATGGCACGCTATTTCAAATATATATAGTTACATAGTTACATAGCTGAAAAGAGACTTGTATCCATCAAGTTCAGCCTTCCTCACATATGTTGTTGCTGTTGATCCAAAAGAAGGCAAAAAACCCAGTTTGAAGCACTTCCAATTTTGCCACAAACTAGGAAAAAATTCCTTCTTGACCCCAAAATAGCAGTCAGATGTCTCTTTGGATCAAGCAGCTATTACCCCACTAATCAGAAATTATATCCCTGTATGTTGTGTTTTTGTAAGTATTTATCCAATTGCAGTTTAAACCTCTGTAGTGACTCTGACAAAACCACCTCTCCAGGCAGAGAATTCCATATCCTTATTGCTCTTACTTTAAAAAAACCTTTTCTTTGCCTTAGATTAAATCTCCTTTCTTCCAGTCTAAATGTGTGACCTTGTGTCCTATTTATAGCCCTGCTTATGAATAGATTTCCAGATAAAGGTTTGTACTGGCCCCCGAATATATTTGTATAAAGTTATCATATCCCCTCTCAGGCGCCGTTTTTACAAACTAAACAGATTTAATTTTTTTTAACCTTTCTTCATAACTAAAATGCTCCATTCCTTTTATCAATTTTGTAGCTCGTCTCTGGACTTATTCTAGTGCCATGATATCTTTCTTTAGAACAGGCACCCAAAATTGCACAGCATATTCAAGGTGTGGTCTTACCAGCGATTTATAAAGAGGCAAAATTATTTTTTCATCCCGAGAATTTATGCCCCTATTTATACATGACAAAGCCTTAATGGCCTTAGCATCTGCAGATTGACATTGCATATTGCTGCCTAATTTGTTATCTATAACAATTCCCAAATCCTTCTCGTGTGTGGTTATCCCTAATTCACTACCATTTAGTGTGTAAGTTGCTTGTGCATTCTTAACCTCGAAGTGCATAACTTTGCATTTCTCTACGTTAAATTTAATCTGCCATTTTAGTGCCCAGTCCCCCAATCTATCCAAATCCCTCTGCAGCAAAGCAATAGCCTGCTCACATTTTATTACTTAACAAAGTTTTGTGTCATCTACAAACACTGATACATGGCTTTCAATGCCTATTTCAAGATCATTTATAAATATGTTAAATAGAAGTGGTCCCAAATCAGAACCCTGAGGGATACCACTTCCCACTTTTGTCCAGCCTGAAAATTGACCATTAATTACAACTCGTTGTACTCTATCCTTAAGCCAAAGTTCTACCCAAGAATGAGAATATTCATCTAGACCAATTTCTTTTAGTTTGAAGACTAACCTATTGTGAGGAACCGTATCAAATGCCTTGGCAAAATCCAAGTAGATCACATCCACTGCAACACCCTGGTCTATACTTCTACTTACTTCTTCGTAGAATTCAATTAGGTTAGTTTGACATGACCTATGTTTCATAAAACCATGCTGATTATTGCTAATAACAAAGTTCTTCCCAATGAATTCCTGAATATTATCCCTTAATAGCCGTTCAAATATTTTCCCAGTTACAGAAGTTAAGCTCACAGGTCTATAATTTCCAGGCAAGGAGTTTGAACCTTTTTAAATATAGGAACAACATCTGCCTTCCTCCAATCCTCTGGTACAACACCTGAAACAAAAGAATCTTGAAAAATTAAATACAGAGGTTCACTTATTTCCCCACTTAGCTCCTTAAGTAGTCGTGGGTGAATACCGTCAGGCCCCGGAGCTTTATTTACATTAATTTTCTTTAATAGCTGTAGCACCTTGTCTCGAATTATCCAATCACAAGTTATTTGCAAGTTTTTTGCAGCAATCATTTGCATATCTCTTGCCATAGGATCCTCATTAATATATACTGAAGAAAAAATTGTTATTTGCTCAGCTTATCCCAGCGCTGACATCCTTCGACGAGAGGGCGCTAATGCGATTGAAGCTAAGATATGCAGCTATCACAAGCCAAAATTTCATATACCCCAAGGAAAATATGCAAAACAAAGTATTATCCTTTAAAGGTGACAAATGTCTCGTTAGAATCTAACAGTCTCAACTGTCTAATGAATGATTTTAAAAATGAAGGCAAGGTGAAAAAGCAAAATATAATACGTTTTTAGAAGTCTGTGGAGCTGAACATCACCGCCCCAAGACAGAATGTACTTTTCCACTTTTATTGCCATACCATTTTGGTATAGATTGTGGCACCCAACACTTAGGACTTTCAGCAGCCAGTTAGATAATGCAGATATAACCATCAAAATCCACCCAAAATTACATAGTAATCCAAAGCTGAAATGAATTGAGAGAAAGTGGAGGCACAGCAGCTAAAACCTCATTGTACCATAAGTACCGCAATTAGCTGTCATGGTCATTTTGCTTAAAGTGTCCCTTTAACAATAACACAAATAACTATCAAGGATTACTAACATAATATGATTGACATTCTGCTCTGGAATGTAGAAGTAACTATGCCAGGACTTTCTAAGATTGCTCGCATTATAAACAACATTTTAAGAAACAACAAACAGGGGGATTCCCATTTAGAATTTCCTCAAAACTAAATACCATTACAGCCTGCATTACCTGATTTCTATAAAATGTTGTTATAAAAATAAGCCTGGTTTCACCTTGTTTGAATAGCAAAGGCTGCTCTCTTCAGTTACATTATACACGCCTGTAGGCCCAGAATTCTCCCACCTCTTCCAAACTGATAGAAAAAGCACAAAGTGTGTGGGTGTGTAGTGTGTAAATGTCTGTGTGTATGTATTTCTAAGTATGTGTGTCAGTTTGTATTTGTGTATAGTGTGTATGTACAGTGAGTGTAGCCGTATACGTGTTTGGGTAACTGTGTTTTTATTAGTGTGTAAACGTGTAGTAGTAGTATCTCCCAAATGCTGGGCATAACCGTCAAAGACATTAAAGGGACATGATAGGCACCAAAACAACTTTAGTGTAATGCATAGATTACATATAGAGATATACCTTTCATACAGATTATGCCTTTTGTATAGATTATGCATCTTAATGTATAGCTTATGCCTTTTGCTGTCTCATTGCCTATAGTATCCCATTAATAATCAGCCCCCCATCACCCCCCCAAAAAAAACCAACAAGTAAAATGAGAAGGTAGGGAATGGGATCATCACTTAGATAAATCTTTGATTTACTAAAATAGACTGTGTCTGTCATAGGGATCAATCCCAATAAGGTTTTCTTAGTTATTTGCGCAATTCTTGTCCTTATACACTGTTTAGATACATAAGTACAAGACATAATTAATAGACTAAGCAGTCAATGTATAGGTAATAGGGTTATATTACCCAAGTAGTGATCCCATTCCCTTCATCCTCATTTTCCTTTTTGTTTAAATTTGTGTGTGTGTAACAGTGTGTGCAGCAGTATGGGTAACAGTGTGTGTATGTAACAGTGTGTGCAGCAGTAAGGGTAGCAGTGTGTTTGTGTAACAACAGTATGGGTAACAGTATGTGTATGCGTGTGTGTGTGTGTGTGTGTGTGCAGCAGTAAGGGTGGCAGGGTGTTTGTGTAACAGTATGGGTAACAGTATGTGTGAGTAACAGTATGTGCAGCAGTAAGGGTAACAGTGTGTGTGTGTAACAGTGTGTGCAGCAGTATGGGTAACAGTGTGTTTGTGTAACACTATGGGTAACAGCGTGTGTCTGTAACAGTGTGTGCAGCAGTATGGGTAACAGTGTGTTTGTGTAACAGTATGGGTAACAGCGTGTGTCTGTAACAGTGTGTGCAGCAGTATGGGTAACAGTGTGTTTGTGTAACAGTATGGGTAACAGTATGTGTGAGTAACAGTATGTGCAGCAGTAAGGGTAACAGTGTGTGTGTGTGTGTGTGTGTGTGTAACAGTGTGTGCAGCAGTATGGGTAACAGTGTGTTTGTGTAATAGTATGGGTAACAGCGTGTGTCTGTAACAGTGTGTGCAGCAGTATGGGTAACAGTGTGTGTGTGACCTTTGATTTGAGTTGTCCGGTCCTCTCCTCTCTCCCTCCTGCACATCACTGTGTTTAGTCTGAGGGGGCAGGTCATACACAGATTGCTGTGTTCAGTCTGAGGGGGCGGGGCCCTACACAGATCACTGTGTTTAGTGTGAAGGGGCGGTGCTCTACACAGATCACTGTGTTTGGTGTGAAGGGGCGGTGCTCTACACAGTTGACTGTGTTCAGTCTGAGGGGGCGGAGCCAAGCACAGATTACGGTGTTCATTCTGAGGGGACGGGGCCATGCACAGATCACTTTGTTCAGTCGGAGTGGGCGGGGCCATGCACAAATCAGGCTTCACAGACTAAATACAGTGATCCCAGAGTCCTGCAGCCAGTAGATTCAGGACAGGCCCCCTACAGGACAGGTGCCTACTCTGCCTAATGAGAAATCCATCCGTACTCTTAACCCTATCCTGCCTAGCAAAATCCTTCTTTAACACATTTTTGGCTATTGATCCTTATAAATACATTGTGGGAAACAATAAAACTATATTTGCAAAAGTCATCACATAATACTGTTTTTGTTTTTTTAAAGATTCTTTATTTATGGGTTTTTCAATAAGACATTCGTACAGAAAGGAAGAATGTTGGGTTGAAACAAAGTTGTAACATCAAAGAGTAACATTCAATTGAACGTAGGTTAACTTGGTACGTGAGGTATACATTGGACCATATTGGTGTTGTTAAAGGTGCTTGGTCTGGTCTATATAATCCTTTTTTTTGTTCTTTTAAATGTAATATTTAAAGCTAAATTTTGCAATTCAGCTGTCAATGTACTACTATGGACATTTCAGTGAATACACTCCCAAGGTTAATCATGCAATGCAGTAATGATGGATTGCTTGGGTTCAGTGAAACAAATGGAGCCGTGCAATTGCCACAGTGAATTCGAAAGTAGTGTTTCCGATTGCACAGAGCGACACAATACATTGGTGCTGTATATATGAAACTAATTATGTCCCCTGTGATTACAAATGTTCGAGGTTATTCTCTAAACAGGCAAGGCTAAGCAACAAGAATGAGAAAGAAGACTGGGCAAGAAGGACCCTTACACTCATTCTCTCTAAGGTTGGGTTCATTCAACCCAACTTTCCTGGACAGTCATGATGTGTGGATGTCTCCTACTGACATCCACACTTTTCTCATGTGTCTTACTTCTGAGACAGCAGGGAAAATGCAGACAAGGCATAGTATGTGTGTCTCATCAGATGCATACAAGAAGATGTCCCAATTTTAATGCTAAGTGATGACTCAGACTTCTATCTTGCTGCTTGGACCCCAGCTTGGGAACACCAACAAAGACAGCCTCAACTGCAATTATCGAAATGTAAATACTTTTATTTCTTCATTATCAAAAAAGACACAGATTGTAGACCACAGGGTGAACATCAAGGTGAGGAAATATGAGACCACCTTCTAGTGCCATTCATGCTTGATAGCACTTTGGTGAGACAAAGAGGACAGGGACACATACGAGAGATGAGGCTTGCCTGACAGGGTGTTGTGATTGGTTGGCTTACAAATCAACCAATCAAAAGGCTTTGAATTCATGTTTTAAAGTGTGAGAATGAAGATCTGCCCTGCATTGAAATGTCACGTGGCATAGAGCCCTCAAAGGGCAAAAATGAATCTACTTTTGCTGCAACTCTGTTATTCTTTTTTTTTTGTTATTTGGGTCTTTTTTTATTTTTAATAGTTACATCAGGTTATAATGGATTTTTTTGTCTTTATTGGGGCCCCATTATGATACGGGGTTAGTGAATAACACAGAGAATGCTGTGTGCAAAGGTCACCTTTCCCTTGAATTTGTTGCCTTGGAGCTAGAAACATTATATAAAACATAACTCAACGCGGTTTGTCCCAGCTTACTTTGAATTCCTAGATGTATTTTCTCATTATCATATACATCTACCTTAAATAGCTGCTCAGCACATGAAAATTGATAAGTAATAGCTATTTAAAATGTAGTTTTACTGATAAAAAATACATGTAAGTACATGCAATGTGCCTTATACATAGGTATTTGTCTGTTTTCTGGTGTTTCTTTTTTCATTGTTTCATTCAGTTGTCACTTTTTTTCTTCTGCAAACACTAAAACATATTAGCAATGAAACAGGTAATGTTTGAACAGGTATCTACTGCCAGAGGGGATTACCGGTACTTGGTATATGGTGACATGTTGGTGCATACAGACCTGTTAGAGTTAACTAACCATTTGATAGTAAAATGCTGTATCATCCATACCCTTTGGAACACTTTGGAACATGATTAAGTCTTATTATCAAGATGGTGACCATGATGTCCTATCAGAAGATATTCCATTTCAGCTTCTAGCTGCTCCTTTCAGAAAAGTCTACACATCAATGAAGGTCAGTTGCAGAAGCCATAAAGGGAAAATCTGCCACATTATCTCATTTTATATCTAAAGGCTAAATCTGAGGTTGTATTAGGCAATGTCTCAGCTTTACAGATGATGGAGATGCTCCACTGGAAGCCTTGTCCTTGTCTTGTTTCTACATTTTGTGTCATTTCCCTTTCAATATGACATTCCGATGGCATTCAAAGTTTCTTCTTTCATTTTTCAAGGCGTGTGGTTCAAGGCTCATGCATTCTCTTTTGTCTCCAAACACTGATACATTTATAGGTGATCCTGCCAATAGTTTTGTTCCCAAATTACTGTATGTTGCCATTATTTCCTGTAAGTAGATGTATTACTTCTTTAAACTTTGTATTCTACATACAGATTTCCCCTGTATTCACCCAAGATGCATAAAAGAACGAACGTGGTTTGGACAACGATTCACTCCTGATTCTGATGTCCTCCGGCAGTAAAGAAAGAATGAACATTAAAATAACACTAGACACTAAAAACTAAAATAATTGCTATGGAGGACCAAAAAAGCATAATTAAAACGTTATTACTTATAAAGCCAACTTGTGAAAACGCATATATATCTAGAATCCATATAAATTATATATATATATATATATATATATATATATATTACACATTATATTATGATAATATAATGATAATAATTATATAATATATATAATTATGATAATATAATGATATGATATTTACCCAGGACATACTTGAAAACGAGAGAAATCTCAATGTATCTTTCCTGGTAAAATATTTTATAAATAAAATAAATATTCCTGTTCTTAAAAAGGGTAAATGTGGAGATAAGACAAATCTCCAAATATAGAAAACAAAATACAGTACACTGGCTGGAAACTAAAATGAAAATGGAAATTATATTAATAGTTTAGATCACAAGGTCAAAAAAATGCTTGACTCTATACTACTGAAAACTAGTCCCTAGATGGTACAATACCAACTAACTGCACTAAGGCTAGGCAACAGCATGAAATCAAAGGACGAATGAGAACATACTGTTCAATTAGAAGAAACTCGTATTACAAGTTGTTCTGGTTCCAAAACAAAGCTATATTTTGGAAGATATGGGAAATACAAAAGAGAGTTGAAACTGAGATAAAAAGTAGTAGAATAACAGAAGAAACAGGCTAGCAGATGCTAAATAAAGAAATAACCAGCCTCAGGGTTCCTCTAGACTGGGAATGATAGTGGGAAGCACTTCATGTTCCAGATTATTACAAGGAATTATAACCTCTAATAAGTAGCCTAACAATCAATGAAAAGCTTTGTGCGCATTTCGCTTCACTAGGTCCCTGATGAGCCAAGGGAAGCAAAATGCATGACGAGCCAGATACTGTTCAGCAGACTGACCTAATCAGTTTACAGAGCAGTTCCATTCATCCTATGTGATAAGTGGGACTTCTTCTAGAGGATTAATTACGTATGCATAAACCATTAATTAATGAATCTTTCTCTATGGAGGGGGCCTATTGCAGCAGGTAAAATAATAATGTATGGGGATAGGAGAGACAGATGGGGGGAGGGAAGGAGGGAGTGGGAGTGTGTGTGTGTGTTCCTCATTCTTGAGTACTTTACCACAGACCTGGGAGTCTGAGAGTTTTACACAGCTTCTTAGTTTTCCTAGAACTGGAAAGCTATCTCAGATGTCCCATCTGGAATCTGCTGAAACCAGTCAACCAACTTGCGGGTCACAGCCATGGAATCTCCTTATTTTCTGAATTCTCTATCAGTTATTGTTTCAGGTGTTCTCTCAGCAGTTAATCATTGGGAGCCATCTTCATGATGTACTTGTGGATGCTCTGTGTTTCATCCAGGATTGTGGTCTTGACACTCATCAGGCTCTGACCTCCTTCTTTCCTGCTGGTGTACAGTGTACAGTCTTTGGGTTCTGGATTTCGGGTGGAATCCTTCATTCATAGTGAGTAGATTCTAGGTCTTCACATCCATGGTGACCAACGTTTGTCTTGGCCACATTATTATTCCAGTTGGGTACCTGATGACTGGTAAGGCATATGTGTTGATGGTTTGGATTTTGTTTTTTCCATTGAGCTGGGCCTTCAAAACTTGTCTCACTCTCAGGAGGTAGTTGGATGTTTCTATCCTCCTAGTCTCTTCCTCATTGTTACCATGTGTTTGAGGTACCCTCACATATATATAGCTGTTCTCTACATCTATTATTTGACCTGGGGGAGTTGTACTTCTTTGCTGATCTCCTTCTCTCTTTTTACTACCATCCGCCCACACTTATCTAGTCTGAACAATTATATTTTTACTGTATATTCTAGTTAGTTGGATCAGTGTGTCAATGTCCCTCTCACACTTGGCATACAGCTTTATGTCATCTCTACTCTTGTATCCGTATCAACTCTTTATGATGATCTGGCTAAGGATATTGAGGTCTATGCAGAACAGCGCATCACCTTGGTATATGCCACATTTGTACACTTGTGTTATGTTCTGGAATTTTCTTCTAGAGTTGTTTTCCACTTGTCCATTGAGTTCTTGATGAAGGCTCTTAGTGTCTTGTTGACCTTGTATGTAGTCAAGCATTCAAGTATCCGTGTGTCTGGCATTGTGTCATAGGCTTTCTTGTAGTCAATCCAGGCTGTACAGTCTGTCTGGTCTTAGAATCCTGTGTGACTGGTCTACCAGCAATTGATGTTTTGGTCCTCTGGTGTTGTTTAAAATCCCCTTTTGACTATTGCTCATGTACTGACTCATATGGCCATCGAACTTGAAGACTATGATGGCTGACAGGACCTTCCATGTTGTGGGGAGGCAGGTGATTGGTCAGTAGTTAGATTGTGTTGCTCCCTTGTGAGGGTTCTTCATGACCAGTATTGTTCTGCCTTGTGCTAGCCAGTCAGGGTGGGAGCCTGTTGCTAGTAGCTGGTTCATATGTGCTGTTAGAGATTCATGTAGCATTATTAGTTTCTTTATCCAGTAGGTGTGGATTTTCTCAGGTCGTGGGGCTGACCAGCTTTTCATGTGGGCTACTCATTGTTGGATGTCACCCGCGGTAATGGTAGGTGGTTCCTGTTCTGGGAGTAGGCAGTGGTCTGCTTTCCGGTTTAGTAGCCACTGGGCCTTGGTGTTATGTGATGCTTCATTCTCCTAGGTGTTCTTCCAGTAATTTTAAGTCTCTGCTCTGTGTGGGTCTTGGGTGGATATTTTGTGATTATCCTGGGGCTGTGCATACACCTTGGATGGTTCTTTGTTAAAACAGGGCATTTATTCTCTTAGTCTATGATTCTTTGTTTTCTTCTCTGTTCAGTCTGGTTGCCAGTGCTGTCATTCCTTGCTTAGATGTTTCCAGTGCCTTGGGTATGGGGATACCCTTGTATTTCCTCAGTAGGTAAGATCTATCCTTGATCTTTCCACCTCTGTGAAGCTAATCCAGCTTACTAACTTCCTTATGCATTACCTTTGTCTTGGCTTCCAGTCTTAGTCTCCATGGTGGGCATTGTTTTCAGTGGCGGAACTACCATGGGCGCAGGGGGTCGCAGCCGTGACCGGGCCCATCACTTCAGACAGCCAGGCCCCCTACTGACCTTGTGAGTCGCCGAAGATGGGGGCGCTGAGAGGAGCTGAATTGGCTCTTACCAAGTGAAGAAGAGTAGGCACCTGCATACATGGATGGCAGGTGCCTATTCTGCTGATATATACCAGAAGGGGCTGGGAGGACAGGATGCAGACGAGGGAGGCTGATCTGGCAGTTCCTCTCTCCTCCCTTGTGCGCCCTCTGTGATGCCGGGAGATGTAATATTATATCATTCCAGCCCGGCATAGTAAACCACGCACTGGAGGAGAGAGTAACTGCCAGATTACAGCACAGCCCCTCATTGGACCCCAGGGAGAGGACCCACACCAGCTCTCCGAAAGGTAGGGAGGCTGGGTGGGCCTCAAAAAATTTAATTGTGAGTGTGCAAGAGTGTGTCTGTCTGACCGTGTGAGTGTGTGTGTCTGTCTGTGTGTCTGTCTGTCAGAGTGCGTCTGTCTCTTTGTTTGAGTGTGTGTCGGTCAGTGTGTGTGTCTGTCTGTCTGTCGGTAAGTGTGTTTTTCTGTCAGCGTGAGTGTGTCTGTTTGCCAGTGTGAGTGTGTGTCTGTCTGTCAGTGTGAGTGTGTCTGTCAGTGCTGGTGTGTGGTGTATGTGTGTCTGTCACAAATGTATGGGGATGAGAGAGACACATGGGGGGCTGGATGGTAGGTTAAGAAACATTGAGGACTTGGGGGGAGAATGAGGTGTGTGGAGGGGCTGGCACAGGGAGATGAGATGTGTGGAGGGGTTGGCGGGTGGAGTGGGGGGAGAATAAGACACATGGAGTGGCTGGCAGGGGGATAAGACACATGGGGGGGGGGCCCAATGCAGTTTTCAAACCAGGGCCGATGGTTGTTTCTCGTTCAGCCTGATCTTAGTAGTCAAGCAGTTGGAGAACCACTAATGCTGTGGCATGATCTTGTTGGTCTCTGTGATGGTGTTGGTTGGGATTGTGGAGACTGCCTCATAAACCTCTGCTGGCATACTGTCTAGTAGCAGTTTTCAAGTGATATTTAGTAATAAATATACATACACTTACCTTTAATGTTCCCTGCAGGTACATGATTTAAAGGGTCTACCTGCAGCAACAGAGTCCACCCTCACCAGGGATAGAGGCAGAGATTAGTAGCATCTCATTATGGTTTGTGGGGTTAATTCTTATCCAACGGTGGGATTTAAAAAGTAAAACGAAATTGATCCTCCTGAAGTACTTCCACTCTTTTAAATAAAAAACAGTATCGGCGCTTAGCAGATATTCCCTTATTGACCGAAAATAGGGAAAAAAGCAACAAACAATATTTGGATCAATGAATTATACAAAACCACAGAAATGAGGTGTGATTGGCACTAGATGAAGAAAGTTCACAAGTTCCCAGTGCCACTGAGTGTAAAAAAACAGTGGGAAGTGCAATAATATGAAAGGCAATAAAATACTTAAATTTCCAATAAATTGTAGAGATTACAAAGCTATACATGAGACAAAAGCAAGATACTTGCATAGTGAAATATGATTTTACAGTATATTCATAGCAAGATCTGCTTAGTCCTACTCACATTTACCAGAGCCACTTATAGCAGGCTCCGGCTTTGTAGGTATGTAAATAGGGTGTATCCAATTCATACAACCACTACACGTAAGATAAAACGCAACGCGTTTCGATGATAGACATCTTTTTCAACTGGATGACAATAACAGAGCACACAATCTCATATTTATATACACATAGCAGGAAGTTAAACTTCGCGCCAATCTCCGACGTCTGACCGGCATGCCGCGATCCCGGAACTCCAATGGGCACTGTTCCAAGCTGTATTTCCGGTACAAAGTTCTTACGTTCCACCTAGTGTTTCCGGTTGGGCATGCTTCCAGTCTCTTCCATTAAATATTGGATGAATGTTCATGATGAGATTGTCATATTAAACAATCGAAAGTCCCATTTGTGTGAAACTTGTTCATAGAACACATATTAAATAAAATGACAGATAAACCAGTGTTAATAATGTATTTCATTCTTATAATTAACATTAATACAACAACATACTCGATCTTATCAGAGACATAGAAAGGAAGGTAATCTTTTTAAGATGAGAATAAAAAAATATATCTAGTATACACCCTGTTCCAAATTATTATGAAAATTCTATTTAAGTGTCACAAAGATTAAATATTTTGTTTTTCAGTTTAATTATGGATGGCATCGTGTCTCAGGACTCTTTTGATCACTGAAAACAATCTTGGACACCTGTGATAATTACATTGCCAGGTGAGCCCAATTTAAGGAAAAACTACTAAAGGAGGGTGTTCCACATTATTAAGCAGAGCACCATTTTCATGCAATATGGGGAAGAAAAAGGATCTCTCTGCTGCCGAAAAGAGTGAAATAGTTCAATGCCTTGGACGAGGTATGTAAACATTAAATATTTCACGAAAACTTAAGCGTGATCATCGCACTATTAAGAGATTTGTGGCTGATTCAGAGCAGATAAAGGCACATTGAGGAAGATTTCTGCCAGATCCATGCATTGGATCAAGAGAGCAGCTGCTAAAATACCATTACATAGCAGCAAACTTCTGGAGTCCCACGGACATCAAGGTGTAGAGTCTTCCAGAGTTCTCATAAGCAGAAACGGCTGCATTGGGCAGAAAAATACATGAAGACTAATTTTCAAACAGTCCTGTTCATTGATGAGTGCCGTGCAACCCTGAATGGTCCAGATGGATGGAGTAGTGGATGGTTGGTGGACGGACACCCTGTTCCAACAAGGCTGCGACGTCAGCAAGGCGGTGGTGGAGTCATGTTTTGGGCCGGAATCATGAGAAGAGAGCTGGTCGGCCCCTTCAGTTTCCCTGAAGGTGTAAAGATGACTTCTGCAAAGTATGTGGAGTTTCTGACTGACCACTTTTTCCCTGGTACAGAAGGAAGAACTATGCTTTCCGTAATAAAATCATCTTCATGCATGACAAAGAATAAAATCATAATAATCATCTCATGCTGCAAAGAATACCTCTGCATCAATGGCTGCTATGGGGATAAAAGGAGAGAAAGTCATGGCATGGCCTCCATCCTCCCCTGACCTCAATCCTATTGAGAACCTTTGGAGCATCCTCAAGCAAAAGATCTATGAGGGTGGGAGGCAGTTTACACCCAAACAGCAGCTCTGGGAGGCTATTCTGACATCTTGCAAACAAATTCAAGCAGAAACTGTTCAAAAACTCACAAGTTCAATGGATGCAAGACTTGTGAAGCTGCTATCCAATAAGGGGTCCTATGTTAAAATGTAACGTGACCTGTTAAAATGTTTAGAAAGTTAAAATGTTGTTATAAGTTTGATTGAAATAGCTTTTGATTTCAGTAAATATGCTGCAAACACAACAAATGACAATTTTCAGTTCTTTACAACCTATAAAGTGTTTTGAAACTTACTGTGCGTAATAATTTGGAACAGTGCATTGTAAGTTTTTTATTTAAAAAAAATACTGTTATCATTAGGAGGTTTGTTCAATAAAATTTGAATTGTACTCTTAATAGTTGATAACATGAGAATTATGCTGACTGTTATTTACATCAATTATTTAGGTAAATGAGAAAAATATAATTTGCATAATAATTTGGAACAGGGTGTATATATATATATAAAAAATAATAAAAAATATATATTAAAAAATATATGATAAAAAAATCTTAATTATGCCGTCAAAAAGAGGATTCATTATATTGAATAAAAATCACTAATTGTAAATTGGTTAATTAAATTAGTGCTATAGATTCCCAATCAATATTGAGCCCATTTGGGGCCATAGTGTCCAGATCAAAGATCCATTTCATTTCATTTTTATTAAGGCCTAAAGGGACACTATTGCCCTTCCAATGGCCCAAAACATGTTGGACACCAAAAAAACTAAAGAGAATCTGGATTTTTGTCATTGTGTTCTAAAAAATGCTGGGACACGCTATGATTAGCGTGTCCCCTTTTGATATTGTTTATATGTTCTTGTATCTTTATCTTAAGGGGCCTTGATGTTTTCCCCACGCATGGGCATACGAGAACATATATCACATTATAGGTGTAACGGATCACCTGGCACCCCGACTGGGTACCTCCGTTAAAGGATGCTCCTAGCACTTCCTGAGGACTCCAAGCACTGCAGCAGACACCACAACCACCGAACCGGAGAAGCATACGAATCCTCTCAAGCATATGAATGCTGTAGACAGTTGAATAGGAACCATACGAATAGGTTTACTCTCCTAGCAGTCAAACTGGAACAGCATACAATAAATCCTTCCCCCAATAATGAGACGATACTTCACTTTGAGGGTTAAAACAGGAACTCTCTGTAATGGCAACACACTGGCTTTTATGCAAGTCCCCATGCAAGGGGACATCCCACAGGGTGGGACACAGTACAACCAATCGTTACAGGGGAACCATAAAACACACCCACAATTACATCACAATCCCTCCTCTCTGTCCAGGAGATAATTGTGAAGTAATCAAATTATCTCCAAGGACAGAGGCAAAACTCCATTAACCACATGGCAGACAAAGGACAATAAAAGACATAAAATTACATACAGTTACCTTTATTCCATAAAACATAGACATTCTACCTATCCCCAGATAGCTTAGATCTGAGAGCACATTACTACCGAATGGCGCTCAGATCACATAAATACAGTTCAATCGCCATGGAGCCAAAGTCTTTCATACAGTCTTTCAGTATACGGCTGGGCTCCATGGCATAGCTATCTGGCGTAGCATGGCTTTAACAGTCCGCAGAATGGCACGAATAAACCTTTCTGCTGGTAAAATAAAAGTTTAAAATGCAGGACCATAGTCTAAAGGGAGCAGTCGAGCAACCAGGCTTCTCCAGTGTACAGTGGCGAGGTTGGTTTCGCCACAATAGGTATTACAGGTAATAAAAGATTTAATAAAAAAAAAAAATATTAAAAAATTATTATTAAAAGAGTAAAAATTATCAACCTTTCTTTCTGTTTTTTTTCTACCCTTTTCTACCTCCTACCTTCTACCTACACCCCATACAGTCACCACAATAGAAAAAGCCTTTTTGTGTATTCTTAATCTTAGATAAAAAGCCACTTGTTCTTTTTCTATAAAACTTGTAGTCAAATTTGTTTGAGATTTTGGGACTCCTACATACAACTTTTGGTTTTGTCCCTACATATGTATTTAAGGAACTATCCTGCTGCAAAATATACCAATTTTTTCCCCAGAATTTTTCTTAAGTGGCCTGCATTAGTATTGATTATTGGAACTTCCTCACTCGCTGTTAATTCTAGTTTAGACTTCTACTTAAGGAGAGCAGGTCTCTCATAGTTTTTAATTTTCAAAATGTCATTTTTAAGGCGTTTTTGTTATACCCCTTATTAGAGAATTGGTTACTCAAAAGCTCGGCTTGTGCTGCAAAATCTCTAGACTTTTAATTCTAAAGTCTTTAGAATTGTCCCTCAGGGGTATTATCCAGCCAAGGTCTAAAGTGACAGCTGCTTCTATGTATGTAGCTATTTACATTGACTTGTTTGAAAAAGGTTTTTGTTTTAATTTGTCCCTCTGATATAAAAATAGTCCAAAAAGTTACGCCATGCCCGCCATGCCCGGAATAAATAAAGGATTCCTCCCAGTGTGCCATAAACAAATTGGCATAGCTGGGGGCGCACCAGGTTCCCAAGCCGTGTCATAGCTGGGGGCGAACCTGGTTTCCATAGCCGTATTTGTATCAGGTCCACAATGTTAGAGTTCCAATGTCTATATATAGAAGGATATATCCAAGAGGTTAGGGAATTACAATGGTTGCACGATAGTCTGTATGTTCTGAAGTTGGAATAAATCATGTCCAATGCAACTTTGTATCCAACCTTAAATTAAAAGAGATACTGACATAGTGTAATAAAGTAACAATATTTTATTCCCTTTAAAAAAACAAACAAACAACCCCTAAGTAAGTTTACAAGATAAAGTGGTGGAAATTATCTCTAAGTGCCACTACAACAACATTAGTGCACTAGTCGGAATGTATATGGTTACCGCTCCGTAATGGACTCCTGTGCACTGGAACCGATGCCCTTGAAGGAACGCCGACTTACATGTGCCACTGTGATCACTTCCAATATTCAAACTCTAACATTGTGGACTTGATCCAAATATTGTTTGTTGCTTTTGTCCCTATTTTTGGTCGATAAAGGAATATCTGCTAAGCACCGATACTGTTTTTTATTTAATTTTTGTCTATTTCATATTTAAAACTTGGGAAGGTTTTTATAGTATCTGGCAGCTGTTAACCATTTGTTATATAGTGTCATAGTACACTTATTTTTATCTTGTTTGCACTCACTTATCCTTTTAATTTGTACTTCCACTCTTGTACTGCTGCTATCACTGGCTATCAGTTTACACATAGCTCAGTTCACTGTTTAGTGGGGGAGAGAAAGCTCTGTCCAAGTTGCGTGTGTGGTGTGTTCATGCCATATGCACAACTGCTCTTTAGCATCTGCACCTGATGGTTCCCGCTGCTTGATTGACACTCAGTCTTAAAGATGAAGTGGTTTTTACAAACTGTAGAGGTTCTAAGCCAAACTCATAGCTGAATAATCTCAGGGTGTTCTGTGCAACATTAGCTTTGCAAAGTTGTGATGGTACTTAAAATAACTCCAAAAAAGTGCTCCATTAACATTTTAGGAATACACTGTCCTCAATTTAACAAACCCTGGTATAGATACCGTAATCTATTCTGTGAATAGCAGACACTTTAATACTTAATGGTTATGTTTATATATATATATATATATCACTGACAATATTTCTCTTTTAGATTGAAGAATGGGTTGGGCTGAAGATCAATTCCACAAATACCTATTGAATAATATGAAATCTTTAGAGGTGATAAATCTGACTGAGATTTTACAGTATCTACCTTGTCTCAGCACTCAAAACCAGGTAACATATGTCTCATTGCTTATAGTCCTTCATCTTCCTTTAACTTTGTAATTGGTACCAATATGGACCATGACAGCCAGATCATCTGCTCACTGTAATCCATCCATGGTGGGTGGGAGCCCTAAACCATAAAATGGGGCATGGACCTATTGTCACCCACACCCATTGGTGGGGATCCTTAACAATAAAGTGGGAGTGGACCTATTGTCCCTCCCAGCACCTCCACTTTGGAAGCAAGTGGGGGCACTAAATAATAAAGTGGGGGTGGATCAATTGTCGTCCCCCGGCCCTCACCCACTGTCAGCGGCGGTGGGTGCTAGTAATAAAAATCCCACCATCCCCCCCCCAGTGACTAGGAATTCCCAAGTCCCTAGTTACACCTCTAATCATCACTCCCATTAAAAAATGCTCGACCGGTGGGTAGGGACATTAAGGAGGATTTCACCTCCCTCATACTAGTATAGGGATAATGCTGACCTACAGAACAAGAGTGAGGGGAAGCATAAGGACATTTAAGAAGCACCAGGGAGCACAGCTCTCCGCCGCTTCTATTTTTTTAATTTTAGATATACTTTATTTTTGCTGTGCTTAGAAGATACAGACAGTCTTGCAGTGCCACAACAACAGATGCAAGCATATCAAAAAACATATTAGAACAATTGCATGGCAAACAATCATCCGGCATAGTTTTATAATAATATTAATAAATGAGAATAGTTAAACTGAACTTTGTTTAAGTGACTAGTGAAACCGGTTATCTCAGACAGGTCTAGTATTAGCTCTCTAACAAGATCAGATAAACCGTAGGTTATGCACCAGCAGGACATTACAACTGGAATAAAAGGTAACTGACAAAGGCCTAACCCTGTGGTGATAGATCTAAGCTAGATTATAGATTATAACCACAACCTAAGTAGGTTAGCATATGCATAGATAGAGAGCAAGAGTATTGTAAAACCACAGCATCTGCGATGGTGGGCTTCTACACATAGCCCTTAGTGGGAAGAATAAATGACCAGTGTAGACACTGGAGATCAGTGGTAAATTATAGCACTGGAAGGCACACGTCTTTTGAGAACTGCAACATAAAATCAAATCAAATAGAGTAAAGCACATTGTCTGTTTTTGGGCTAAACCTGCTGGGTTACTCTGTTGGGTAAGATTAGTCCCAGAAGCAATTCATGCTTTTCACCCCACGCCAACTATAGTGGCTTGATGAGTGAGTCCAGGGTGAGAGATGAGAAGGAGCCAGTGCAGGGTATTGCCATGCTGTGAGGCAGCTGCTGCATTCCGTCTGCTATGTGCCTGAACTCGAGAGATGTTGTGCTTATCACCACATGTGGTAGGGTGCCCACCTCTCCGCTGTTGAGGGCTAGGGCGCTGTGGTATTTCCACTCTGACGCCATCTGCCAGCCTTTGTAGTATTCGCCATCAGAAAGCTGCACAGAGCTGATCCAAGCGTGCTGGCCGTCTGCCACAGTGGTGTGTGGGATCAGCGCTTTGCAGGAGCTCTCTTAATGCAGGCAGCCGACATCTTAGACGAGTTGAGTTGATTTTTCTCACTTGCGCCCATCTGTCTTGGCCTGTGTGTGTAGTTCCAGGTTTGTAGTAATGCCGTGTCCAAAGGGGGGGTGGAGGGGGGGAATCTGTGATGCCCGCTGCTTCTTTTTTAAAATATTACAAGGAGGGAGCTTTGAGTCTCTTTGTTATATAAAATGAACAAAATTTCGTCCAACAAGCAATTCGTTCTTCGCTCATTAGTTGTAATTTGTATTCATCTATTAGTTATTCGGATGAATAGACAAATAGCCGAAATTCGGACAGAAATATGTTCATCTGAAAACAAAATTCACAAGTCTTATAGATACTATACTCTAGTTCGGGTTCTAGTGCATGCAAAACTCTATGGTATAGTCATACATACCACCTATTACTATGAGATTTATTAATGTGGAGCTTTGCGCTACACCAGTGCACAAATTACTGTGAGTATTATGACTGTGGAGCTCTGCAATACACTCATATACATCAACAATTACATTAAATTACATTTTGTTTCAGGTAGAAATTATACACTTAGATTTGGGTGTTTTTGTTTGTTTATTTTTAAAGGAAACTTTAAGGCGGCGAATAATTTTGGAGGGTAATGAAGCCACCATGTGGGACTTCATTAATGACCTAAGAAAAAGAGATGATTGGGTAAATCAGCTCCTGAACGCGATTCGAATGAGAGACCTTGGTTCGCTTGCAGACAGACTACAAGGAGTCTATAACAGTTTTCTCCTCCCAAGCCGTGAGTCAAAATTATAAAAAAAATTTTGTGTAGTTGTCTTTGTTTCAAGTTTTTAAATGAATAAAACAAACAATGAACAGTTAGACAGACATTAGGTACAAATAGAGTGTAACTGAATATCAGCACAATACAATCAGACAAATGAACATCATAAATCAAACATTCTGTGGGACACTATATTCACTTGAACATCTTCAGCTTAATGAAGTTGTTCAGGTGAGAACTATAGCTCCCTGCAGCCTCTTTCATGTAAACACTGTATTTTCAAAGAAAATACAGTGTTTACATTAGAAACATTAGAAACCCATTAGAACCCAGGAACACCTCCAGTGGCAGTCACTCAGACGGCCACCAGAGGGACATCCGAGTTCAGGGCTGCCTAATTCGAATTCGCATTCCTCATGTTTTCATGTCTTCACAATTGGATGAATACATCAAACATGATGACAGGAGGCAGGAGGCACTGTGAATGTGCCTCCTGTTTCCTGTAGTAACCCAGAGCCTGTCAGCAATTAGAGCCAACAGTGTGGGAGATAACTGGCTGACATGCAGAAGGCAGGAGGATGCAGAGATCTCCTGACTTCAAACAGTAAGTACACTTATTTTAAAAATTGAGAGTGAGTGTGAGAGAGTGTGAGTGTGAGAGAGTGTGAGTGTGAGAAAGTGTGAGTGTGAGAAAGTGTGTGAGAGAGTGAGTGAGAGAGACAGTGAGTATGAGAGAGTGAGTGTGGGAGAGTGAGTGTGAGAGTGTGAGAGAGTGAGTGTGAGAGAGTGAGTGTGAGAGAGTGAGTGTGAGAGAGTGAGTGTGAGAGTGTGAGAGAGTGAGTGTAAATGTGAGAGAGAGTGAGTGTGAGAGAGATAGAAATAGATAGATAAATATAGATAGATAGACATAGATAGATAGACATGAATAGATATAGATGGATAGATAGATAGAAATAGATAGATGGATAGATAGTGTGTGTGTGTGTATGTTTAATAATATTTATTTAAAATGTGTGTATTTTTATACAAAAACTATAAATAGAGATTTCTCTATATATAGTGTTTGTATAGTTACTTTGGGCTGGAGGGTTACCATAGGAGGGGGGCGGGCATAGACAGTGAGCTGAGCTGTCAGTCAGCTCGCGAACCCGCATACTGCACACATGCGTGGTAGATCGCTGAGTTCATTCATAGGGCGCATTCGATGCCACTCTATGAATAACGCGATTTGTGCAGTGCAAAGTCACGCATGCGCACCAGCTCTCTATGATGCTTCTCTAAGAGAAGCGCCTGATTGAGCCCTGATTGAGCCCTGCTATTCTGACGAAAAAGGGAGCGCGGCCTGCCGAGGAGCTCGGCACCAGAATGGATGAAAGTTTATATGAGAAAAAGGACTTGGATTTATATAAAAGCAAGAAAGAAGGCTAGGGGACCTGTTTTTCTTGCTTTTATATATTGACTATAGTGATCCTTTAAACAATATCCACAACAGAATAAAAAACGGGATGACGCAGACTAGGCCAGGAGGGTGGGCAGGGGTCATAGTAATTGTTTATATTGAACAAGGGAAATTTTGTTTATTATCGCATGTGTTGCATTTGGATTCCAAGAATAACATTTTTTTAGAAGCATTGTTAATGTATTCAGCTAATTGAAATAATGAGGATTATATGTGTTCATTTAGTTTAAATGGATTATAAAATGATTGTCTTTCTTCAGAACCAGGCAATCCTCGACCACTTCCTCCACCAGGAGTCCCTCAAGCATCAAGCTTATATTACTCACGTCAGTCTAATCCACAACAGCCCCAACAAAACCCAACAAATATACAACCTTTGCAACCTGTATCCATTCTGCCAAACGCGTTAAATTCAGAAATGTTTCAGTCACCTGTTCCAGTTCAGTCACAACCATTTTCTTCATTTCCATCGGAGGGGCTTCCTGGAACTCTTCCTTCCATACAACTAAACCAAGGTGACGTACAATCTTTTTCTTCATTACCAACTCTGGCGGCTGCAGAAACCCCTCTTTCAAAGCCGCTAAACAAGGTTCAGCCACAACTTTATTCTCCTTTGCTATCTCAGGGTGTTCTTGACACGCTTTCATCAAACAATGTTCAGCCACAACCTTTATCGTCCCCTCACAGGCTTCCTGAATCCCTATCTTTGGTGCAGACAAACAATCCATTAGTCCAAGAAACAGGTCCAGCCTTATTACCATTAGAAAGTAAATCCAATCTGCCTCTCTCCAAAATGGAAACAACCCCTGAACAACCCCTGAGTATGCAATCGTTTTCACTTACAAAACGGGACAACAAAGTTTTACAAGCTAGTACATCCAATCAACAAAATGTTCCAGTTAATGAGTCATTTCCACTGCAAGATACAGACCAGAAGTCCATCAATAATACCTTAGTCAAGGTAAGTTCATTAACATTAATCAAAACAATCTACACATTTTAAAGGGAATGTGTGTAGTGCATGTGTATGTGTGTAATGTGTGAGAATGTATGTGCAAGTACCTATTTATGTGTTCGCAGGATGAATTAATGTACTGTGGATAGACTTGTGCAAGGAAAATGTATGAACAAGTTTGTCCAAATCAAATTACTTTTAATCCATACATGGGTGAATTGATCCATCCAGGATTTACCTGTGGGGTGTTAATAAATAAATAAAGACTTCACAGATAAATCCCAGATGGCTTGATTCAGACAAACCAGTTCAAACTAAATTTTGCACAAGTGTAGTATGTAATGTGTTCGTGTGCATTTCTTTGTTTGTGCCTATGGGAATACAATGCATGTCTGTGTGTAACATGTGTGGGGGACAAAAGAGGGACGAGGTATCTCATAGAACCTCATTGTAGTTGTAAGCAGAGGTAGAATTCTGCCCCTATTACTTGTGTTTCCATTGTTATTGTACATATGGGTAATAGTATTCATTTTTATACCATATGTATAGCTTAATTTCAATATCTTAATTGTGATAAAGTTCCTTTAGAGATCAAAATGTTTCTAATTTGGGCTTTAGACTTTAAGCACCACTGCATCTCATTGCAATGGTTATGGTATGATTAATCTTTGGGTGCTGTCCCCTGTTTTTGTCAAACTAAGGCATGCTTCCCCAAACTCCGTCCCTCCAGATGTTGCTGAACTACAACTCCCATGATTCTCAGCCCACCTATTTATTGTAGTTCAGCAACATCTGGAAGGCCGGAGTTTGGGGAAACCTGAACTAAGGTAATGTACCTTCCAATGGACAAACATAAAAAATGCAAAAGCCTAAAATGTTAGATGTGCCTGGAAATTAGTTAAAGAATCATTCCTCTAATCTGAATTGTTTTCATGGTAAAGTAAAAATCTTCTTTTGCTATTATCTAAAAAGACATGTTTTGCTTACAAAATAAGCACAAGTATATATCTTATAAAATGTATGTTGATATTTATTACATAGAATTATAAATAATACTATGATGATGAGTATTATCAGAAGAAATATTTATGATTATTATTATTATTATTGCCATTTATATAGCGCCAACAGATTCCGTAGCGCTTATGATCATTCTATATTCGTATTTATTCATTAACTCTAGTAATTCACCTTCTGTTTTGTGTTTCTTGAAGGTGGCAGAGAATCCCCATAAAACCCTCCCTAATTTACAAAACACTCACCTGGACCACAGCAAAGACAGCTCCCAGCAAGCTGACACCCCCAGCCCTCTTCCAGACCTAGGAGCAACCAAAATGCGGCCTCCCTTGATTAATCACCCTAATCCCAACACCGTTGCATCATCATCATCACAGATTACCCCACCTGCTCACAGCAGTCACACTGCTCAATCATCACCTGCCCAGGTGACAAAGTCGAAACATATAACGGCCAGCACTCATCCATCATTCACCCCAATCAAATTCACTGAGAGCATTCAGGCGAAAGACCAAATCGCATCTACCTCACCCACTCGTACTATCCTTATTCCTGTCAACAGTCAACAACCAGTCAATCCAGTTCCACGCACTAATGCATCAACCAGCACCTACTCACCATCCACCCCAATCACTCGAGCGGACCATGGCACAGGGAGCAGCGCAAGACATTATACTGAAGTTCAGCAGGTAAGATATAATGATATGAAGAGCATAAAACTATTATTATTTTTTTTACAACATGAAATCCATATGACTTACCTCAACCCGAGTGCTTCTATCACAACTGGGACTACTAAATCCTTCACTTTCCACATCCTTTCTTGCTCTTCTTTCAGTCCTTGGTATTTGTCCATATTCTCATGTTCCTTCTCCATGATGTTATAGTCACTGGGTATTGCCACATCTACCCCCACGGCAATCTTCCATTCCTTGTCTATCACCAAGATGTCAGATTGGTTGGGCACTACTTGCTATTTTTTTTGTTTCAAGAGCACTACTTGCAAGTCTGTCCGGATCTGAAAGTCCCACAAGATGTTATCATTCTAAACTAACCTTTGTGGTATCTCCCATCTGGATTTAGGAAGGTCCAGCCCATATTCTGTGCAGATTTTTTGGTATTCAATCCCAGCAACTTGGTTGTGCTTCTCAGTTTATGCTGTCCCTGCTAACATCATGTACCCTTGCACCAGGGGTGTATTTAGCCCAAGGCAAAGAGGCTAAGCAAGTTATAAGAGCTTCCAAATCACACACAGAAGAGAAAATAGCACAGTCAGTAAAAAAAGGGGACAAAACATTTTTTAGGTACATAAATGAGAAAATGAAAGTAAAACAAGGATTAGTTAGATTAAAAACAAAAGAAGGAAGGTATGTAGACGAGGATAAAGGTCTTGCTGACTGCCTCAATTAATATTTTTGTTCAGTATTTACAGATGAAAATTAAGAAAAGGGGCCTCAGTTAGGAAAAAGGACAAATGAGTCAAATGAGTCAGAGTTTACAGAGGAAGAGGTTCTATCTCAACTGTCAAAAGTAAAGACAAATAAGTCAATGGGATCTGATGGAATAAACCCAAAGTTATTAAAAGAGCTTAGTGGTGTACTAGCAAAACCATTAACAGATTTATTTAACCAATCATTGTTAACAGGAGTAGTCCCAGAAGATTGGAAGTTAGCGAATGTTGTGCCCATTCACAAGAAAGGTTGTAGGGAGGAGTCGGGCAACTATAGCCCAGTAAGCCTTACTTCAGTAGTGGGGAAAGTAAGGGAAACCATGTTAAAGGATCGGATGTTGAACATCTAAAAACACATGGATTTCAAGATCAGAGACAACATGGTTTTACTTCAGGGAGATCGTGCCAAACTAATCTTATTGATTTTTTTGATTGGGTAACTAAAATAATAGATATGGGTGGTGCAGTAGACATTGCTTACCTAGATTTCAGTAAGGCTTTTGACACACATAGAAGGCTTATCAATCAACTGCAATCTTTAAGTTTGGATTCAATATTGTTGAATGGGTAAGGCAGTGGCTGAGTGACAGGCAACAGAGGGTTGTAGTCAATGGAGTATATTCGAATAATGGGCTTGTCACCAGTGGGGTACTTCAGGGATCTGTACTTGGACCCATTCTCTTTAATGCTTTTATTAGTGATATTGCAGAAGGTCTTGATGGTAAGGTATGTCTTTTTGCTTATGATACTAAGATATGTAACAGGGTTGATGGTCCAGGAGGGATAAGCCAAATAGCTAATGATTTAGGTAAACTAGAAAAATGGTCAGAGTTGTGGCAACTGACATTTAATGTGTATACGTGCAAGATAATGCTTCTTAAATGTAAAAACCCAAGGGCAGAGTACAGAATATTTGATAGAGTCCTAACCTCAACATCTGAGGAAAGGGATTTAGGGGTGATTATTTCTGATGACTTAAAGGTAGGCAGACAATGTAATAGAGCAGCAGGAATTATAGCAGAATGCTTGGTTGTATAGGGAGATGTATTAGTAGTAGAAAGAGGGAAGTTCTCATGTCATTGTACAGAACACTGGTGAGACCTCACTTGGAGTATTGTACGCAGTACTGGAGACCGTATCTCCAGAAGGATATTGATACCTTAGAGAGAGTTCAGAGAAGGGCTACTAAACTGGTTCATGGATTGCAGGATAAAACTTACAAGGAAAGGTTAAAGCAACTTAACATGTATAGCTTGGAAGAAAGACGAGACGGAGGATATGATAGAAACATTTAAATACATAAAGGGAATAAACACAGTAAAAGAGGAGACTATATTTAAAAGCAAAAAAACTACCACAGCAAGAGGACATAGTCTTAAATTAGAGGAGCAAAGGTTTAAATATAATATCAGGAAGTATTACTTTACTGAGAGGCTAGTGGATGCATGGAATAGCCTTCCAGCTGAAGTGGTAGAGGTTAACACAGTAAAGGAGTTTAAGCATGTGTGGGATAGGCATAAGGCTATCCTAACTATAAGATAAGGCCAGGGACTAATGAAAGTAATTGGGCAGACTAGATGGGCCTAATTGGTTTTTATCTGCCGTCACATTCTATGTTTCTATGTTTCTATGTTTTATATACATATTTAAACAATTTATATGACACAGTGTTTATAAAATTAGAAATGCACCATTCAGGAAGATTAAGATTAACTACATCAAGTCTGTATGAACAACCAGTAAAAATGTACACTTAATTGATAGATAATTTGATCAGTGTTAGTTAGAGCTGAAGAGAGAGCCATCCACAGGCTAAATAATTTAGCAATCCGATGTAACAACAAATTCATGGAGAGGCTCCTGCTGCTTTGCTTCAGTTACCTAAGGAACATTGAAATATCACATTTACAATTATAAAACATCTATCTCTTATTTTATATGTCACTAACTGAGCTAGCCTACTGCCTACCTTCCAATGATCTTTGGTATTATCAAACGATGAGCGATAGGCACAGGAGGAAGGGGTTCTCTTTCTTCATAGTGTAAATTTGCACTGAATTATAATTAACCTGTGCAGTACCTAGAGCTTTCAATGAGTTCCGATATGGCAGCCACTAATATTTACATTCATGAAAACATTAAAGAAGCTATTCAGTAAGCTTTTAGAAGGTTGATTACGTGATTGTGGCTCCCAAAATGTCCTGACATAATGCCCTACTGTAAAATGAGACAAGACTCATTCACCTTCCTACTCCCAGGCTGATAGCAAAATGGTGATACACATGGTATGGATTGCTATTCAATAAATATTGGTTTTGTCCCACAGGTATCGGAATAAATAAAGAGATTGTTAATGCATTTTATTGTTAAATTCATGATTAACATTTTAAAAATGTTTTTGTTTATTTATTTTTTAGGTTAATCCTCTCGGAAGGCAAGCAGCTGCTAATTCATCTATATGTCCAATGCAGGAAGAAATCAAAGATGAAGATGAGAATATTTTGAGCAAGCCTGGTGTACTATTATCAAGTGCAGAGGCTAACATACGTATCGGTGGGGATATAAATGGTTGTAGGGCATTATCAAGAAATTATGAATTGATGATCAGTGAAAGTTTAAGTGACAATAACTGTGATAATCAAACTCGTCCACCTCTGCTTCCCGATCAGAGACCTAGTACAAGGTTAGACAGTGTCAGAGACACAAATGTTTCAACCCGAGGAGGCACAAGTAGCAGAGACCAAACTTCACCAAAACAACAAGCCATCAGCAACGCTCCAAAGCGTTTAACTGAATCTTCTCAAGGCACCACAACAACAGAATATCATGACAGTCCAGATGAAAATGAATACTTGTTTAATAATTCACCAAGGCATAACGTACTGTCCTCGTCAGGACAAGGCCCAGCACAGGAACCTGAAGAAAGCACTTTTGATGAAGATACAAGAAGTTTCACTGTGAACTTTACAGGAGAAGCCAACATTGATCTGGGAGAAGGAAATGATCGACTGAAGTCTCAACAATCGTCAAACAATCTTCAACTATCCTCAAACAAGCAGCACATTGGGAAGGATGAGAAAGAGAGCAAACACTATGAAACCCAAACAGATAACAATTATACAAAACATCTTTTAATTTTAAGTCTTTTTGTTGCTGCTATCGGCATATGGGTATGGAAAAAGAAAAACTAAATGTCATAAAGGTAAATATGTATGTATGTATATATAAAAATTGTAGACAGTCCTTGCACTCACGCTTTAATAAGATGCTTGCTGGGTGCTTGAAATCCAGGAAAAATTCAAATATGTATAGGCAGTGATCAGCACTCTCGGACTTGTAAAAGTTAAAACTTACAGTTTATTAATAATCCATTAAAAATCAGATCAACGTTTCAGTCCCAGCAGGGACTTTCATCAGGATCAGGCATAGATAATGTAATGAAAACAGTGCATTTATATAAAGTAAACATCAGTAAAATTAGTGAAAAATGACTTACCCCTGGTGCTGAGAATAGTGGGAGTGCTGCCCCTGGCGTCCCCATTATCCCGTGCGCATGCGCGGACGAAGCCACGCCCCCACGTGCCGTGACGACGTCACGCGTTACAGCGGCAACGAAAATCACATGGTGATGGAAGCAGGAAGTAACATGCAAGTGAAACAAGTGTATACCCGGTTGTTATAGCAACCTATAACCCACAGTGAGGACATTATCTCTATATCCTCAACTAGAAAAGTGCTTCAATCAAGGAAGAAATGGGGAAGGGGAGGGAAGGAGCTGGAAATTAAAATTAAATAGTACATATATATAAATGGATGATTGAATATTTAACAATGTAGAAAGTAGCTACCCTGCTTTCATTATATTGTATAGCAGGGGATGGAAATTTTTGTTGTATCAAGTGAAATATAAGTTTCTTCTAGTCAAAAAGTGCACCAAGTGTGCTTTTTAATAGAGTGCTTAATAAATTGTTGTAAAGTGCTTATGATATGTTAAATGATAAATATATATTGGAGCTAGTGGCTCCTAGTTAGTAAAGTGCTATGATTATAAGACATGTTATATAAAAGTGATATTACCATTATAAGTGCTATAATTCCAAATTTAAAGTGCTGAAAAGATTATACTGTGAATGTTAAAGTGAAACACGCGCATTATAGTATTGGTACAATATTTACAGTAACCATCTACTAATCTACATAAAAACAATGTTATTAATGAACCAAAAATATATGTCTAAAAACCATTAAAAACATAATTCTTATTGCAGAGGGGTTCAAATTTGTAGAGAAATTAGTGATAGGAGATCATCTCATTAAGTCCTTTGGGTGCAATCGTATTTAACTGGAAAATCCACTGTGTCTCTCTATTAAGTTCACCACGGTCTCCCCCTCGCCTGGGTATAGGAATGTGGTCTATTGCAATACATTTTAAAGAAGAGAGTGGATGTTTCATATTCAAAAAATGTTGAGCCACAGGTTTGTCTGAGTGTCCATCTCGATATGCCACACGTATACCCGACCTATGTCCACGTATCCTCTCACATAATGGGATTTCGGTTTTACCGATATATGATAACCCACATGGACATGTTAATTTATACACCACAAATGGTGTTTTACACGTTATTGTGTGTTGTATTTTAAACACTTTATTATTGTGCGGATGTTGAAAAGTTCTCGATGGGGTCATGTGGCTACATGTAACGCACCCTAAACAACGGACACTACCACGTTGCTGAATTGCTGCTTCTTGACTGTAGCTTTTAATCGGGTCTGTATGTACCAGAATGTCCTTTAATGTTTTATTCCTTTTGAAACAATCAATGGACTTTCTTTGAACACTTTGGGCACGGTATCGTCGCTTGCCAGCATCTTCCAATTTAGTTTGATGATTTTGGCTAATTTAGGTGAAGCATCATTGTAGGACATTGGGAATACCATTGCTGGTGGCTTCCTAACTTGCATATTGGCATGTGCCTTAAGCAACTCCTGATGTCGATAGCCTCTTTCAAGGAATTTTTGTGTCATCTCCTCTATCTGTTCCTCCATCTTGTGTTTATCCGAATTATTACGTGCAACTCTCAAAAATTGCGCTTTGTGCAGTGATTCTTTCAGCATTCTTGGATGTGCACTTTTATTGTGCAACAATGTATTCCGGTCTGTGTCTTTATTATACAGACAGTATGAAATGTCTTGTTCTTTGACGGATATTTCCAAATCTAAGTATTGAATAGTGGGTGCGCTAATATTTGATGTAAATCTGATTGGGGTATCTAGTTCATTCAAATATTGATCCATTTCTTGCGCTTCCAATTCTGTACCTTTCCAAAAAAATCAACAAATCGTCGATGTATCGAAAGTATGCCGTAATAAGATGGTTGAATTTGGAGAAGATGTGATTTTTCTTATAAATATACATATAAGAGTTGGCATACATAGGGGCCATCGCTGCCCCCATGGACGTACCTGCAACTTGTAAAAAACAGTCCTCCTCAAACCTGAAGTAGCTGTTTTTAAGCATTAATGAGAGCAATTCTAGCACATATTCTATTGGTGGTCCTTGATACATAGTGGCAGCAGCAGAAAAGTGTTTCTCTCATGGCCTCAATTCCTTCCTCATGTGGGATTACCGTATAGAAATTTCTCACATCCATCGTGATCAAAATTATGGGGTCCCTACCGAAGTCAAGTGAATTCATTTTAGATATAAGTGTCGGTGTATCCCTGAGGCAGGTTTGTATTTCAGCTGTAGGTGCTTGAAACAGATAATCCAGGCATTTCGCGATCGGTTCTAAAATCCCTCCAATCGCTGACACTATAGGTCTTCCTGGTGGCTTAACAGGATCATTGTGCACCTTTGGTATACTGTATATGATTGGAATCCTTGGATTTCTTTTCAATACAAAAATTATATAGCTGTAGATCTATAAATCCTGCTTCAAGTCCCATTAATAAGATATTGTCTATCGTTGTTGCAATTTTGTTTGTCGGATCGCCATTTAACTGTTGGTAGACATTAGCATCTTGTAATTGTCGTCTTATGTCTCCCGCATAATCTATATAGTCCATGACCACAATGCCTCCCCCTTTGTCAGCAGATCTAATGACAATAGTAGGGTCTTCTGCCAAATTTTTGATACTCTTCATCTGTGATAAGGAGATATTCCTCCTAATGACCTTATGATTTTGAATTGTTTCTTGAGTAAGTCGTTCCACAGTGGAGAGAAATGTCTTAATTGAGGCTTTATGGGTCTGTGGATCAAAATTAGATTTAGGTCTAAAGCGTGTTGTATATTGATCCTGTAAATCAATGTTTACATGGGTCTGCGATGATTCCTGTTCCTTCGGTTTGTGATAGTAATCTTTGAGGCGCATGTTTCTCCCAAATTCCACATTGAACCCCTTTGCAATAAGAATTATGTTTTTAATGGTTTTTAGACATATATTTTTGGTTCATTAATAACATTGTTTTTATGTAGATTAGTAGATGGTTACTGTAAATATTTTACCAATACTATGATGCGCGTGTTTCACTTTAACATTCACAGTATAATCTTTTCAGCACTTTAAATTTGGAATTATAGCACTTATAATGGTAATATCACTTTTATATAACATGTCTTATAATCATAGAACTTTACTAACTAGGAGCCACTAGCTCCAATATATATTTATCATTTAACATATCATAAGCACTTTACAACAATTTATTAAGCACTCTATTAAAAAGCACACTTGGTGCACTTTTTGACTAGAAGAAACTTATATTTCACTTGATACAACAAAAATTTCCATCCCCTGCTATACAATATAATGAAAGCAGGGTAGCTACTTTCTACATTGTTAAATATTCAATCATCCATTTATATATATGTACTATTTAATTTTAATTTCCAGCTCCTTCCCTCCCCTTCCCCATTTCTTCCTTGATTGAAGCACTTTTCTAGTTGAGGATATAGAGATAATGTCCTCACTACAGGTTATAGGTTGCTAAAACAACCGGGTATACACTTGTTTCACTTGCATGTTACTTCCTGCTTCCAGCACCATGTGATTTTCGTTGCCACGGTAACGCATGACGTCATCACGGCACGCGGGGGCATGGCTTCGTCCGCGCATGCGCACGGGATAATGGGGACGCCAGGGGCAGCACTCCCACTATTCTCAGCACCAGGGGTAAGTCATTTTTCACTAATTTTACTGATGTTTATTTTATATAAATGCACTGTTTTCATTACATTATCTATGCCTGATCCTGATGAAAGTCCCTGCTGGGACTGAAACGTTGATCTGATTTTAATGGATTATTAATAAACTGTAAGTTTTAACTTTTACAAGTCCGAGAGTGCCGATCACTGCCTATATATATAGCTGGCCTCGGTATCCTGACTTCACTTCACTTGCGAACCACCAACTGCTAAGAGTATAGATAATGACAGTAAATACAAACAATAGCAGATGCCAGGAAATCTGTATCCTCACTGATGCCAGGAAACCTGTACAATAAAACAAACTTTCTTATAAATTTAAGGTGCAAGACAGTCTGCAAAACCCCCTTTCAAAATACAGAACCCAAATACCTTAACAGAGCTCCGCAGCCCTGAGAGACTCTTAGTGCTTGGGGAAATGTGGTAAACCCTAACCGGGGAGAAGAGTAGTCCGATGGTCCCCCGTGAACCAACCTCCCCAAACAGAACTCCCTTGTAGGCCAAGGCCCATAGTTGGTGGGAAAGAGGCTGACCTGCAGTGCTCTCAAAGTACCAAGGTGACAGAGGCTTCCGTTACAATATATATATTCTTTGTTTGTTTTTTTATTGTTTTTTTTTTCGTATTACAAAACATTTTCTGATGGTTTTAATGTCCTGTAATTTTTTTCCCAACTTTAATGACCATTTAAATATGAGGGATATTTACAAGACTGGAATTCACCTCTGTGTTTAAAAACTCAAAATATTACCCGTACACCCAAGAATGGTTTAAGCCCTGAAGGTAAGAGTTCATTTAGATGAAGTTGTTTTGGTGCACGGAGCACCCCTTTAAAACAGTGAAATGACACAATAAATATATGCATGGAACTAACCTCATACGTACACACCGACTGCTATCGTTTTGTGAACTTACACATTATATTTTACATCAATCTTTTCTCTATTGTCCATAACTGTCTTACACTGAACATTATATAAATAAAGACTGCAAAAAAGAGAGAAAAAAAATCACACAGGGGTTATATTTATGCCACACAAATTCATGGTCAGCTTTTTTTAATGGGTTAAACAGAGGTAACGCTAACAGTTTTTAGACAAAGCATACTGCCACCTTCAGAAATATTTTACTTATATCTTATATATAAGCAGCTGGAGCTAGCTCACCTTGATTAGTTTAAGGTGAATACACTGGCAAATCTCTATGAAGCATAAAAATATATCAGCCAGATAAGGAATACCAGTTTAGAGGGATGCCAATTTAGGTGTTTCTTATAGCAGGGTTGCTCAACCTTTTACAGAAAAGTAACCTTGCAGGTCTAAGAAAAATTCCCAAGTATCCCTGTGTAGCGTTACTTACCTTAACCGGGGGCCGGTCGCGGTCCTCTCTTCAAGCCGCGCGCGGTCCTGCGGCTGCACGAGCCGCGCGCGGCTCATCCAACTACTTCGGATGGAAGGCGGGCAGTGACCGCGTGAGGCGGTCACGTGTCCCGCCTGAAACTAAGAGCGCGCCGCGAGTCTCGGGCGCGCTCTTAAAGGGACAGTGGGTGCCTAAATTGGAAAAGGCATCCCATTGGTCCCTGTCATGCCACACTCCCCATACACTTACCTTTTGGGGGCGTGGATGTGACAGGGACCAATCAAATTAGATGTTTAGGTATTTATACTCACCTTCTTCCCTTTGTTCCTTGCCCTATCGTGGTTTCTGTTTCAGTTCCCTTTAGCGCTTGTGGTGTTCAGTTGTGTTTTCTCGTATTGACTTTGGCTTCGTATTCTGACTTCGTTTTCGCTTTATCCTTATCTGTACTGTTTGCCGGCTTGCTGTTTTCCGTGTACCAGACCCCGGCTTGTCCTAGTTTACGCTGTCTCTCTGTGCCCTTGACCTCGGTTTGTTCCTGGCTCTGTCTTCTCTCATATACGTCAAGTCCGGCCATTCTAAGGTCCGGTAGACGTATCTCTCCTCTGTATTTGCCTCTGTTTAGCTGGATCCTGCGTGTAGGGGTATATTCTCGTTACACCCTGTGTTATAACTGTTCTGTGTTTATTTCGTTGAATAATTCTTTTATATATAGGTATTTCTATTTGGGTCAAAGGCTCGCTACATTAATATACTTCTAGATTAATGAAAAGTACTAATATGCAATCTGATGTTCTTTATAAAAAAATATGCATTTATTCGACTTCAACAGCAAACAATAATATACTTAACAGATGATATTTCTTAACAACGTTACAGAGAGTGAGATATCTTAAAGGGACACTGTAGTCACTATATTTCATCTCTTTGAATTGGTTATAGTGCCTGGAGTGGCCTGGCACTGTCCCTCCATTCAGTGTTGCACCATGTTCGTGCAGTATGCCACAAAATAAGAATCCCTGGCCACCCACAGTCCGGCCCCTTCAGTATGTGTAGCTAAGGCAGAGATTACACACTTTCTTGTTGTCATACCCACTCATACCGTCAGTTGGAACTCTGACAGGCTAGAAGCAGTCAGCTGACACTCTCAGCCAATCACAGCTGCCCATTTCTGCTCAGGCTAATACTTCCTTATTAGCCAAAGCAGCACAGATGGGATGGACTGCCAGGGTCTCTTGTTTAGCATTAAAACATTAAAACTTTAAAAACTGTTTAATGCTGATAGAAAAGATGGGACCAGAAGACTCCAGACATTATAACCAGTTTAATGAGATGAAGAAGATACAGTGCCTACGGTGTCCCTTTAAGTATCAAATGTATCAGCAAGTAGGGAACAAATTAGGAGAGGAGAGCGGATCGTCGGAGGAAGAGAACGTGGTCTATTGTCCTCTTCCTTTATATAGGCAAAATTACGTCATAACGTTTCATTTAGACTCTGGCCTCTTAAGGAAACTCCCCACATAAGGACCCTACCCTCTATATCCCTATACAGCACATTCCCGAGCCCTCATGGTGCAGAATAGCCAACACCATCTGTTCTTTTTAACCCATTAGACAGCCACACCTTAATATGTATTTGAATAGGGACATATAGAATATGTAATATTCTACACCCTGCCTCAAGAAAATTATTTATTTTGATTTAAATTCCAAATGATACAGGTAGACACGGATATTTACGTTTATTATTATTATTATTTCTATAGCGCCAGCAAATTCCGTAACGTTGTACAATGGGTGGACTAACAGACACGTAATTGTAACCAGACAAATGGACGCACAGGAACAGAGGAGTTGAGGGCCCTGCTCAATGACCTTACATGCTAGAGCAGGCTTCCCTAAACTCCAGCCCTCCAGATGTTGCTGAACTACAACTCCGTTTGGGGAAGCCTGTGCTAGAGGGAGTGGGGTATAGTGACACAAAGCTTAAACCATTCTTGGGTGTACGGGTAATGAAATAGGTTGCTAAGTAAAAGTATTCATTGAGAACTTGGGTTATTTTTGACAATTGCAGGAGAGGAGTCATGGGGTGGAAGAGGAATTAATACCCGCTAACAGTTTAAATGATATGCTTTCCTGAAGAAGTGTGTTTTTAAAGATTTTTTGAAGGATTGGAAACTGGGTGAAAGTCTAACAGAGAAGGGAAGGGAGATCCACAGAAAAGGTGCAGCCCTGGAGAAGTCTTGGAGGTGAGCATCAGATGTGGAAGTAAGGACAGAGGATAGACGTAGGTTATCGGCAGAGCGCAGGGGCCTCGACGGGGCATACTTGTGTATTAGGGAGGATAGGTAGATGGAGCAACATTATGTAGGGACTTGTAAGCACCAGAATCTTAAATTGTGCCCTATATCTAACAGGAAGCCAATGGGAGGTGCTGGCGGACAGGAAAATGAGCCTCACCGCCGAATTCATTATAGATAGCAGCGGTGCACTCTGGGAACACGTAAGACCACTGAGAAGGGGATTTCAGTAGTCAAGGCGAGAAAGAACAACAGCATGGACCAGCACCTTAGCAGTGTCTGGTGTTAAATAGGGGCGGATGCGAGCTATGTTAATCCCATATTGGAGAACAAGCCTGATTAGAGGTAGTAAAGAATATTTTTTAAATAAATATGACATTATTTGAATATTGTATATGTAAGGAAGAGTATATGCAGGGCTGGTGCAAGGATTTCGCCGCCCTTGGCAAAAATCCGTATTGCCGCCCCCTCATGTCACGCACTCACTGACAGACACACACTGGTAGACACATACACACTCACTGACACACACACACATAAAAACCCACTAACAGACATACACTCCCTCACTGACAGACACACACTCACTGACAGACACACAAACACACACACACTCACTGACAGACATACAGACATACACTCCCTCACTGACAGACATACACTGACAGACACACACACACACTTACTGACAGACAAACATACACTCATTCATTGACATACACACACACACACAGACACTCACTCACTCACTGACATACATACACTCACTGACATACATAGACTCATTGACACACAGACTCACACAATTTTATTTTTTGAGGCCTATCCATCCTCCCTACCTCCCTGTGGTCCAGTATGGGGCAGTTCCTCACTCCTCCAGCGCGCTGTTTAGTATCTCAGGGCCAGAAAGACATCATATTCCGTCTCCCGGCATCACAGAGGGTGTGCGAGGGAGGAGTGAGAGGCTGCAAGAACAGCTCCCTCGCAGCCTGCCTTCTCCGTCCCCCTCTCCCCAGGTCACCTGCATTTGTTGGCAGAGCAGACACCTGCCATCAATGTAATTAGGTGTCTGCATCTGGTGCGTTCTGGGGTGGCCAAATGGCCCCCCTGTGACAGGGCTCTTCTCTGCACCTCCACCTTTGGGCGCTTTAAGGATTGGCCCGGCGTTGAGGGCGGCTCAAGAGTCGCTCGCCCAGCCCTGTGGCCCCAGACAGGGGCAGGCAGTCCACAAGAAAACATCCCGGTTGGCGGGAACTGAAAATTGTCATTTGTTGTGTTTGCAGCATATTTACTGAAATCAAAAGCGATTTCAATCAAACTTATAACAACATTTTAACTTTTTAAACATTTCCACAGGTCACGTTACATTTTAACATAGACCCCTTATAGACCCTTTATTTGATAGCAGCTTCACAAGTCTTGCATCCATTGAACTTGTGAGTTTTTGGACAGTTTCTGCTTGAATTTGTTTGCAAGATGTCAGAATAGCCTCCCAGAGCTGCTGTTTGGATGTAAACTGAATCCCACCCTCATAGATCTTTTGCTTGAGGATGCTCCAAAGGTTCTCAATAGGATCGAGGTCAGGGGAGGATGGAGGCAACACCATGACTTTCTCTCCTTTTATCCCCATAGCAGCCATTGATGCAGAAGTATTCTTTGCAGCATGAGATGGTGCATTGTCATGCATGAAGATGATTTTATTACGGAAAGCATAGTTCTTTCTTCTGTACCAGGGACAAAGTGGTCAGTCAGAAACACCACATACTTTGCAGAGGTCATCTTTACACCTTTGGGGACTCTAAAGGGGCCGACCAGGTCTCTTTCCATGATTCCGGCCCAAAACATGACTCCACCACCACCTTGCTGACGTTGCAGCCTTGTTGGAACAGGGTGACCGTCCACCGACCATCCACTACTCTATCCATCTGGACCATCCAGGGTTGCATGGCACTCATCAGTGAATAGGACTGTTTGAAAATTAGTCATGTATTTTTCTGCCCAATGCAGCCATTTCTGCTTGTGAGCATTGGTTAGTGGTGGCCGAATAGAAGGTTTATGCACAGTTGCAAGACTCTGGAGGACTCTACACCTTGATGTCAGTGGGACTCCAGAGGTACCAGCAGCTTCAAATATCTGTTTGCTGCTATATAATGGTATTTTAGCAGCTGCTCTCTTGATCCAATGCATGGATCTGGCAGAAATTTCCTCAATGTGCCTTTATCTGCTCTGAATCAGCCACAAATCTTTTAATAGTGTGATGATCACGCTTAAGTTTTCGTGAAATATCTAATGTTTTCATACCTCGTCCAAGGCATTGAACTACTTCACTCTTTTCGGCAGCAGAGAGATCCTTTTTCTTCCCCATATTGCATGAAAATGGTGCTCTGCTTAATAATGTGGAACACCCTCCTTTAGTACTTTTTCCTCACCTGGCAATGTAATTATCACAGGTGTCCGAGATTGTTTTCAGTGATCAAAAGAGCCCTGAGACACAATGCCATCCATGAATTAAACTGAAAAACAAAATATTTAATCTTTGTGACACTTAAATAGAATTTGCATCAATAATAATTTTGAACAGGGTGTATATTCTCCTCAAGGGCCATGTTGCCTACCCATATAAGGTAATCCTGTGTATCCTGTTTGCTGATTGGTGTAAGGGGAATGCATGCTTATAAAAAAACCTCTACTTCATGTGTTCAGTACTCAGACCTTTTGAGTTCAGCTGAGACCAGATCGGTGAGAAATAAAGACCTTTGCTTCCTGAAATGACCTGGGTGCGTGGCTTCTTCAGTGTTCTTCTGCAACATATCTGGTGCAATTGGCTCGGAAAACAATCGTAGAGACCCCCGAGATGGTAAATATTTTACCCACCTCTCCATGGCAACACCCATGGACCGATAATGTATTGACCTCCTTTTGTCTCGTGCCATTGGGCCTTCTTTGTCCAAGAGACCAATGGCTTCTGTGCAGTGGGTATCGGGGTGTCCCGTTGATGAATTTCGAACCCCAGGTCTAGGAACTTCAGGTAACCCACTTCAGGTAAGAATATTTTTTAAATAAATATGACATTATTTGAATATTGTATATGTAAGGAAGAGTATATGCAGGGCTGGTGCAAGGATTTCCAATATATATCCAGTAAAATCTGTATCTGGTATCTGACCTTCTCCACTGGAAAGAAGAGGCAGCCGATCCCCGCCTTAAGCTAAACGCTCTGTAGCTAGCCCATTTAGCATATGGTCTGTTTGTCCGGCTAAATTCTGATGTATATATTTTCAGTCAGATTCCGGTTTGTGGAATAGTTGAACTCTGTTGTAAATTCTGTTCACTAGATCGCAGATTCTGGAGCGAGTAGACTAGCCGAATTCTGTTGTAAATTCCGTTCGCTAGATCTCAAAGTATGTTCTGATTCTGGTTTCTGGACTAGTTGAACTCTGTTGTAAATTCCTTTCACTAGATAACAGATTCTGGAGCGAGTAGACTAGCCGAATTCTGTTGTAAATTCCGTTCGCTAGATCTCAAAGTATGTTCTGATTCTGGTTTCTGGACTAGTTGAATTCTGTTGTAAATTTAGTTCACTAGATCTCGAAGTGTGGAGCTATTTGATTAACTGAACTCCAGTATAAGCTCTGTTCAATTTAGAACATAGTCTCCTGGGGCTTATAATTGTCAGGATTACAAGTTGATCCAGCACGCAGAACTGTGTCACACCTAGGACTAAGGATAACGTATAATCGGCCCTTAGAATGGCTGGGCTTAACTTATCCAAGAATAGTCAAAATACTTGCCGAGGTCAGGAACACAGAATCAGACACAACGATGAGGGAAAGCCAAAAGTCAAGGATACCAGAATTCAGGGAAGTCAAAACGAAGCCAAAGTCAAATACCAGAAAATCAAGATCAGGAACGCACTCTCGGATTACCATCAGGATGAAACCACGACAGGGCAATGAGCAAAAGGAAAATTGGGTTTAAATACCCCTCCGGTGGATCTGATTGGCCGTAACTGGCCTTTCACCCCAAAAGCAATTACCAGGTTTCAATGTGCATGATTGCTGCTCAGCACAAACGCTCCTGTGGATCTGATTGGCCATAACTGGCTTTTGACCCCAAAAGCAATCACCAGGTTTCCATGTGCCTGATTGCTGCTCGGCACAACTTTTCCTGTCAGGGCAGTAATGCTGCTCGGCACAACTTTTTATGTCAGGACGGTAATGCTGCTTGGCACACCTTTTCCTGTCAGGACGGTACATGCCATTAACCACATTTTTATGTGCGTATGAATACTTGACAATAATGGAGGAGTTCTTTCTATAGTAATTTTCAAATCCGATAAATCTTTGGATTGCCTTAAGCCATTGGGGGAGTTGCCAGGATGTGATTGCCTCTAATTTAGAGGGATCCATACTGAAACTTTCTTCAGAGATTATGTAGCCCAGGAACTGTACTGTAGTTTGGTCGAAGAGATATTTCTCAAGTTTCCAGTATAGTCCGTTCTGGAGCAGCTTTCTCAAGACCATTCTTACATGTTGGTGATGTGTTTCAGGATCTGGAGAATACATGAGAATGTCGTCCAAGTACACCACTGTACATATATGCAAAAGATCACAGAGGACATTGTTAATTAGGTCTTGAAAGACCACAGGAGCATTACACAGGCCAAAAGGCATCACTAGATACTCATAATGCCCACTGCGAGTATTAAAGACGGTTTTCCATTCGTCATTTTCCCTTATTCTTACCAAATTATAAGCTCCCCTGAGATCAAGTTTGGTAAAATACTTTGACCCCTTTACATGATCAAAAAGTTCTGTAATAAGAGGAATGGGATAAGCATTCTGGAACGTGATCTTGTTGAGACCCCTAAATTCGATACAGGGCCTCAAATCCCCCTCCTTTTTCGATAGAAAAAAGAATCCGGCACCCGCCAGGGTCGAGGAACTTCTACTGAATCCTTTCCTTAGAGAATCCTCTATGTACTCCTCCATAATTCTATTCTCTTTCTCTGTGAGAAGATATATTCTACCTTTGGGGAGCATAGTACCCGTTAAGAGGTCAATTGCACAATCATATGTGCGATGAGGGGGTAGTTTTTCAGTCTCTCTTTTCTCGAATACCTGTGTTAGGTCAGCATACTGCGGTGGCACAGCAGTTGAGAGAGGAAAGGCTGTGGGTCAGAGAGGATTTCTAAATTTCTAAATTTTTCCAGTCAAACACGGTGTTGTGTTTCACCAACCAGGGGAAGCCCAAAACAACAGAACAGGAAGGGGAACTTAAAATTTGGAAAGTTATCTGTTCCATGTGTAATGCCAATCGACATATGCGACTCTTGGATTTCGTGGGTAACCAGAGTCTCGTTTAATGGTCTACCATCTATGGCCTCAACGGCCAAGGGTGTGGTCTTTCAGATCAGAGTAAGGGCAGCAGCTTTAGCAAAGTTTTGGTCCATAAGATTATCCACAGCACCTGAATCAATCAAAGCTTTAGTGGTGACTAACAGCTTGACCATAATGAGCAGTCTGATGGCACTAGCAGGAGGGGATAACGTCATAACACCCAAGGCCTTAGGTGCTCAAGTTTCCCAGAAGGCTAGGGCACGCCTTTCTTAAATGCCACTTTTTCTCACAATAAAGGCATAACCCTTCCCTCCTCCTATAAGACTTTTCAGCCTCTGTCAGCTTAGCGGAGCCCAATTGCATGGGTTCAGGTGGAGGACCAGGTGGAGGTAGGGCAAGCAAAGGTGTAGATGGCAAAGAGGGGAATGAGTGTGAAGATATTCTTCTATAATTCTCTTGCTGAGTATGTCTTTCCCATATGCGGTTGTCTATTATAATACAGTAATCAATGAGATCATCCAGTGGGATAGGTGTTTCTCTGGATGCTATTTCATCCAATATATATCCAGGCATGCCTTCCTGAAATGCGATTACCAAGGCATCATTGTTCCACACTACCTCTGCCGCCAGGGTACGGAATTCGATAGCATAGTCTGCTACCGATCTAGAACTTTGTTTGATCCCTAGTAGGGATGTACCAGTGAAAGTAACCCTCTGTCAGGGATCTGCGGGCGGCTAGGAGGTGAGGCTGCACGCCACTTGCAGCACTCACCCTCAGTCCGTCGCCGCCCGCGGTCTCCCCTCCGCTTACCTGTCGGCGAGCGGCGTCTCCTCTCTGCCGCTCGCCGCTCGCCGCTCACGTCCTCCACGCCCCCCAGCGGTAGCATGTATAACGCTGCACGCTGGGAGGTCACTGAATTATGTAAACGCTGGGGTCACGTGAGTGACCCGGCGTTAAAGGAACAGTACCACAATCACAGTGGGAGGTATAGATATCCCCCACGTGTGATTGTTAATTCTGATTGGAAGTTATCCAATCAGAATTAAACCAAGGGTATTTATACTTACCTTTCCTGTCCCTCAGTGCCCTGTTGTGGTCTTGTGATACCTGTAGCGTGGTGTTCTCGTCTTGCTCTCTGGTTACTGATTATTTGGCTCGTTATTCCGATTATCCTGTCTTCTCCACTCCTTTGACCTCGACTTGTTTCTCGTTCTCCCGTTTTCTGGCTCCCTTTACTTGGCTTGTCTCCTGACTATTCTTAGCGTGCTTAGCCCGGCCACTCTAAGGATCGGTATAGCACCCTTCCTCTCTGTGACCTGTTAGCGTGTTAGGTTCCGGAATCGTGACACCCTCCCTGGCACGTCAAATTTCCTCTTGAAGGCAGACAGGAAGTCTGAATAAGACATGGTTGTACCTGATTTCCGTATAGGATTAGCCCAAGCTAAGGCCCTACCCGAGAGGTGATTAATCAGGAAGGCTATTTTAGACCTGTCACTGGGGTATGAACGTGGGTTCATAACCAGATGTATATCAGTCTGGTTAAGAAACCTGCGACATAGCACAAGATAGCCACCATAGCGCTGAGGAGGTGTCATCTGAATAGTATGAGCTGGAAACAACTGGTACTGGCCGTGAACAGGGACAATAGCAGCAGATACAGTCTCCTGCAGCTCATGTTGCTAGTGAGTGGGACGTTGTAAGATGGCCTGCAATGCTTGGGCAAACTGGTCCATGAGATGGTCGAAACCACCCATCCTGGAATCCTGATTAGCCAGCTGTTGTGAAATATCTGTAGGTTCCATGTGGCCCTGTTGTAATGTCAAGGTTTCCATGGAACCAAACACACAGAAAGATCATGACAAACAGAATTGCAGTAACAGTCTTTAGAGTGGCCGGACTATGCAAACAGAGAGATGTCAGAATACCAGCCGAAGTCAAGGGGTGGAGAAATACAGAATAACGAAGAACTAGCTGAGGTCAGGGATCAGAGAGAGCAGGATAATCAAGAGACAGAGCCGAGGTCAATAACAAATAATCAAACAGTATAAGTGCGATATTGGGCTATCACAAGACCACAACAGGGCAACAAGGTATAACATCTGCAAGCTTAAATAGGCAAGACCTATTTGTGATTGGTCAGCCTCCAACTGGAATTTATTACTACTCGTGGAAGGTATTTGCCCTTCTTAATCTGAACCTTTGTGTCATCGCTATGCGCTGGGTTTGGAAGGTCACACAGGCGCATATTTAATGACGCTGTACGCAAGCATGCAGCGTCAGAGAGAATATTGGCGGAGACTGTATCAACCGGGACTCCGGCGGAAGGCAAGTGGCCGTGAAGCCTGACAACATTTCTGCAGTGTTTGTGTTTAGCTGTAATTTTCCTCTTACTCATTTACTGTACCCACATATATTATATACAGTTATTCTCGACATTAAATGGTCTTTCTAAAGATACCATTATTTTCATCATATCATATAATTTACCATAAATTTTTTGTATAAAATATGAAGACATTTTAAAAATAACCACAAAATCTGTTACGCATCTATAACCACCAAAATAAACTTATGCTAAATAGTTTCTAAATTTTGTCATGAGTTTAGAAATACCCAATGTTAACATGTTCTTTTGCAAGTTACAGGGCAATAAGTACAAGTAGCACTTTGCTATTTCCAAACCATTTTTTTTTCCAAATTAATGAAAGTTACATTGTAACACTGATATCTGTCAGGAATCCCTGAATAACCCTTCACATGTATATATTTTTTAAAAGTAGACAACCAAAGATATTAGACTTGGGGTATTTTGACTCTTTTCATGCAACCATTTTACCACCAATCTATGCCAAATTTAAAAAAATTAAAAAATTGGTTACTGCCAAAGAACACCCCAATATGTGCTCAGCAATGGTACCACCTATGCATAGGTTTATTGGGTTGTTTGGGGGGTGCAATGCTAAACTTCTGACATGTGTTTTTCAAATTTGACATATCTTCTTTGCCTATCTTCTTTTTGGGGGCCTTTTTACAGATCCCAATTTATTTTCTTGCCATGAACGTGCATATATTTGAAAAGTTGACACCATAAAGTATTGTGTATAGAGTGGTTTTATGCCTTTGATGCAACCATTTTAGCCAAACAAAATTGGATAAAATGTGTGGTGGTAATTTTTCAATTTTCATTTTTACACATTTTTACACACACTCCTTCAAAAAATCGTTAAAAACCCACTTCTTCATAAAACGATTAAACTGTTAATAGCTCCTGACTGATTCCTCTTCTGCAACTGTCACTAGTCTAATACTATCCTTACCTTTTTGTGTCATTTTACCCCACTCCCTCTAGCATGTAAGCTCATTGAGCGGGGCCCTCAACCCCTCTGTTCCTGTGTGTACAACTACATGTCTGTTTCGTCCACCGATTGTTAAGCGCTACGGAATTTGACGGCGCTCTATAAATATCATAACAATAATAATAATAATATTTGCCGCAGGCATACTAGGTATGTCCGCGGTCCTTAAAGGGACACTATAGTCACCTGAACAACTTTAGGTTACTGAAGCAGTTTTGGTGTATAGAACATGCCCCTGCAGCCTCACTGCTCAATCTTCTGCCTTTTAGGAGTTTAATCCCTTTGTTTATGAACCCTAGTCACACCTCCCTGCATGTGACTTGTACAGCCTTCCATAAACATTTCCTGTATAGAGAGCCCTATTTAGGCTTTCTTTATTGCAAGTTCTGTTTAATTAAGATTTTCTTATCCCCTGCTATGTTAATAGCTTGCTAGACCCTGCAAGAGCCTCCTGTATGTGATTAAAGTTTAATTTAGAGATTGAGATACAATTATTTCAGGTAAATTACATCTGTTTGAAAGTGAAACCAGTTTTTTTTTTCATGCAGGCTCTGTCAATCATAGCCAGGGGAGGTGTGGCAAGGGCTGCATAAACAGAAACAAAGAGATTTAACTCCTAAATGACAGTGAATTGAGCAGGGAAATTGCAGGGGA